TTAAGGCACAATACATACAGTAGATGTTGCTGACAAGGTGAACCATGTTTTTGCTCCAAGGCCAAACAAGCAGCTCTGTGCGACAGGGGAGCTGTGTCTGTGAGCACTGCCAGCAGACTCCAGATCTGATCGCCGAAGCATGCACTAACTCTGGACCGGCACTGGGGACAAAGATACATTTTGCAAAAACTGTGCCTCCCCTGAGCTAATGGACTATGACAGGTGAAGTCACTGTCTTTATATGAGCCAAGGTGTAGGAAGTCCATGTGTAGGAGTCTTTGTGTTAATCAATTATAAAGACATAGGGCATTACAAAGTTGTTTGAGTTTGGTAGCTGCAGGTGAGTGAGTGCAAGAATATGTACCAGACCCCACACTTTCATAAACATGTCCATATTCCAATATTTTTCAGACATTATATACAACATTGTTAACTTGATCAGTGTTGGGGAAGCCACTTTGAAAGACAATAACTCAATCAATCAATCAATCAATCACTATTTGTTTAGCGCCAATTCATAACAAGTGTTATCTCCAGACGCTTTACAAAAGAGCATATGGGTTAATCTGCAGGAAGGATTTCTCCTTTGTATCCCTCGTGTTCCTGTTGTCCACACTTCCTTGCAGATGACGTGGAGGTCGGAGCAGGCCATGCATGATGAAGACGGCGATGGTTGTCGGGACGACACAGTCCGATGGTGGAGGCTGAGCGTCAGGGATGACGGGTGGTAGTAGTGCCAGATCTCCTCGTAGAAGGTTGGAGGAGCTCCGTCTATTCAAGAGTCTTGCTTCTGCTGCCAGGACAAGGCCTCCTGGGCTTCTAACACAACACTTAAAAACTTTAGTTTTACTTTAGTTAATTCGACTATGCAGAAAAAGTAGCTTAATGTATTTTAAACAAAAACAAATAATGTGTTCATTGCTGACTTGTTCACAGGTCATACTGTAAATAAAGATAACAATTGGAAAGTGTAATGGTTTGGTTTTTGCTCCCCATGTTAATCAGACAGATACCTGCTTTTTTGAAAATAGATTCCAGGTGGGGGTATTTTACCAAGAGGAATAACTCAGACAGCCAAGCTGTTTCTACAAAAGCATTTTTTTTTTAAACCTCTAAATTATTTTTAAAGATTTTTGATTTTAAAGTACACGTAAATGGCACAGAAGTAGTTTAACATCTTTATTAACTATCCAAATTTAATTGTAGTTAAACCTTGAGCTATCTTTCTCAAGTTGAATTACTCATAGTTCACTACTTTATATAAATAATCAGTTATCATCTTTGGAGTGTGGAAGAAGGATCTTTATGAAATACACTGACATTGTCTGACATATTTAAAAAAAAAAGGTCAATGTAGGGTAATTTATATTCACACATTTAAACAAAGTTTTTATTCATTCTGTGGAGTCAAGTTTATTTTTTAAATCTAATAGTGTGACTCAAATCTAACTTTCCACAAACTTGCATCTTTGACCTTTTGCTGTTCTCTCTCGCCTCCAACAAAACCCTGACACAAAGTTGTTCTGCTGATTGCCCCATGCCGGCCGTACTTTGATGGAACAAGAGCTAAATGGATAACATGACATTTAAACTTACATCTCTGGCTTTACTTTACAATAAAGTTTTACTTTCTACTTGGCCAAAGGCTGCTTTCCTAAGGGTCTGGAGAAAGCGCTAAAATGCCAAGAGTTTTTGTGTGTGTGTGTGTGTGTGTGTGTGTGTGTGTGTGTGTGTGTGTGTGTGTGTGTGTGTGTGTGTGTGTGGTGATGGTGTATAATCACCAAGTTAAATAGAGGGTACAGGTTGGGACGGGACTAAAAACAAAAGATGTAAGCTGCCTTCCATTCCCCTGTGTGTTCAATAATCTTTGCTCCATATTCAGGAAATGCCCTTGAAATATGGAGCAATCAACAATCAAAATTCCTTAATTTGAAACACTGCAAAGTTACCAGTGCAGAAATCACTTGCCATTTAATTTACCCAGGTACTATAAAACACTGCAAATGCATGCCTGTTGCTGCTAGACTAGAAAATCTGTGGAAGCAACTGTCCCACAAGGCTTGTCACATGGTTCTGACCTCCATGTAAATACAAACATATCTGAAAATGGAGCAGGCTGGCTCGCAGAATTATCATCTATGAGGAGAGAACAAATCTGTCAGAGATGTCATGAGGAACGAGCACATGGGAAAAACTCAGGCAAAAATCTCAAGCTACATCAAAAACACAGCAAAACAGGCAGCTTAACACCACGAGAAAAGTCACCATAATAAGACGTGAAAGAGCGCACAACTGAATGAGACGGAATGCTTTAACAGAGCAGTAAGGTGAAAACGGCTTTTATTGTAAGGTTGATGAGCTGAGTGGAAACAGGTGTGCATCGTCTGCTGCTGAGAGAGAATCTAGCCACACCCCCTGCCACACACATACCTGCAGGAGGAGGAGAACAGAAAGTGGAGGGGGAGAAAGAGAAAGAACAAACACAAAAAAACCAACAACAAAACCAAAACAGAATCATCACATTAAAGTTACCATAGAGACTGTATTCTCGGCATTCAAATCTTCTGTGCAATATTACAGAGTAAAATCACAGCTGTAAATCATCACATTTTTCATAGAATGAAATCATTCATAACCTGATTTCTGTTGTTGTGGCCTAACTTTGGACAGCTGTCCTGCACCAAACCTCAAGTGTTGGAAATGAAGCCAATATGGAAGTGGAAAAATCTGAAGTTAATCAATGTCAATCAATCAATCAATCAATCAATCAATCAATCAATCAATCAATCAATCAATCAATCAGTAATTGTATCGCACCAATTCACAAGAAGTTTTATCTTGAGACGCTTTACAAAAGAGCATATGGGATAACGGCAGGATTTCTCCTTTGTATTCCTCGCATTCCTGTTGTCAACATTTCCTTGTTGGTGACGTGGAGGTCAGAGCAGTCCATGGCCAGTGGTGGCTGGACTTTGGGTGATAGTTGGGACAACAAAGTCCGATGGTATAGCTGGGCGTCGGGCAGTGGTTGTGGGACGACACAGTCTGATGATCACCTCGCTGAAGGTTGGGGGAGCTCCGTCTACTTGTCCACTTGTGGCTGGCTACAAAAGCCCAGGAAGTACCTTTACCCCCAAGTGGAAATGCTCATGACTATGGTATTAACATGTTTACAGCCTGGTACAAATTAGGTCTGAAAAGCTCATGTCTTTATTTGTATACACTGACAGGGGGATTTTTTAAATAACTCATCTGTTTTGATTATATATAGACTAAGAGTCATGCATAACTAAGCCACGGTCGAGCTGACTGACAGGCGGGAGCAGTAAAGCTGGTTTTCGAGGAGGCTGAAGGCCCGCCTCAGCTCCGCCTCCAGCCTCCACTATGGTTGACCCAAAGTTATTTCCAGAACAGCATTTCCAATATGGCGTTAGGCTTCAAATATCAGCTACAGACACCAATGGCTGATGCCACTGAGACTACATTGATGTTTTATTCTGTCAATGTTATGTGCCTAGTATATATTTTTGAATTGAAGTCTGTGAATAAAACTCTCAAACATGTCTTTGCATAATGTATTATGGGAAAGCTTGGATGTTAACGTCCCTTTTTATGACAAAAATATTCTGGATTCATTGATTCCGACTGCCTGACCTAAATTCAACCACATGACCAAACACAGCAGCGAGGCCATCAGAGAAACACTGTCCTGTCTCCCTCCCCTTGGTGGCTTCTCTCCTCAGCAATACAGCTCCTCTTCCCCCTCCAACTGTGGGTCTGGGTCTGGATTTTGTCAAACTGGGAGGTCTAGCAGTCCTGAGAGGATGACTTAATACAACCGGCTTATTTCTAAAGAGGAAGAACTGGCCCATCGGGGATCCTGGGTAGGTTTTTTTTTTACTCATCCCTGGTCTTTTTTTAAGGAAAAAGGAGGCCAGACAAAGCCAGAGAGAGAGAAAGAGAGGTAGTAATGCATGAGAACACGTCTCCCTCTCTCTCTCTCTCTCTGTTGGATGTGAAAGGAAACTGTGTGTGAGGAATCATACAAATGTGTATTTGTGTGTGTGTGTGAGTGAAAGAATGAAAACCCCTCCTTTGGATCTGTTAATTGGCCGCCTAATTACACACAGGGACAAATTCATTCCCATCCATCATTTCCCCCCAAAAGCACGAAGGGACACAGGACGATTAATGAGACATGAGTGCATGTCTGTGTGTAATCAATCTCCTTCATAAAAAGTTTATCAAACATGTTTATTGATATTTGATGTTTGTGTTGATGCAACAAGCTGAAGCCTGGTATGAATGGCTCAGTGTGTTTCAGCAGCAGCAGCAAAAATCATTGTTTCTACCCCGTTAGCTGAGGCATCAGCACAGCAGCTTTTGTCTGTGCACTTTATTCTTTGTAACTCTTCCACAGTCCCCCAGGAGAAGCTCCCCCATCCACTGTTCCCTAAAAAAGCACAGCAGCAGTCCACTACTGCAGGGCACTCGGGTCTAACGCCGCCGCCTCAGAACTCAGAGGTGTTTCTATCATGAAAATATGACAAACACTTAAAATATCTGGTCTTTATCATATCTATTATTCACTGGAAAAAAATGCTTATTTGATTCTACACTGAGTGCATTACTAGTCTTACTGTCCTATTAGATATAAAGACTGAAAGAAAAAAAAAATCAATATGAGCCTATTTAGCAAGAGGATTAAGTGAAGAAACATGACCTTCAATAAAACAGTTTCTAAAAGCCTTAAACGTCTCGTCGCCACTTCAGGTATAAACATATCATCAGGTGCTGTACACTGCAGCTCCTCGTTACGCAAACACAGCTCTGCTTTTAGGTCACAATCAATCAGCTGCAGACATATAGCACTACTGAGAGCCATAACACGAGCTGCACTCTAGTCTTCTGCTACAATTGGAAACAAATCAGCTGGTGGAGGTCTTTTATTTCATTTGACATTATGAACGGAGTTTGACCCTTTTTAGTCAGGGCTGTTCTTTTTTTTTTTTTTTTTTACATAAAAGTCAAGGTACAAAAAAAGTTCCCACATTTACTTTGCATCAATATGTCTGCCTGTGGCCTTCTTTGGTTGTGTCCTCAGAAACATGTAGATCATTTACAAACAAGATTTTTCACCTTTTAAAACAAGGCTCTGACTATTTCAGACCCCTTAAGGATACCTGGTAGAGAACTAATCATTTTAAATGACTTAAAAATTCTCCACTGGAATTTAGACTAAATATGACCGTAATATTCACTCATCGATATGAAGTTATAGACGTGACAAAATTAAATACATAAAATGGACAGCTGCGGATTTATATATACATAAGGAAAATACTCAACAATATATTAGCAAATTCAAACAGAAACAATTCCAATAAAGTACAAATAATCCCTTATTCATTGTATTCATTTGTGCCATTGAAGTGCTGCGCTTTAACAAAACTGGTTAATAAAAGGCTGTAAGCTGTGGGAGGATAAATGCCAGAAACACACATTCACTCACACACAAACACACATACAGAGCTGTGTCGGTGTTGTTCAACAAAGCCTGCCTCCTGTCTGTTCAGGACGTGGTGAGGTAAAGGCCTCTTCATTACTGGTCAGCCCCCCACGCTGACCCCTCTCATAGCTCCTCAGTTCCTGGAGGAAGTGATTCTGTCAGCATGTAAAGACGGGAGCGGAGAGGCTGGACGAGCATCTTTCCGCCCCGGCCTGCAGCCATGGAAAGGAGGCTGCTTGTATATGGTGAGAAATGGAGGAGTTTCACAAGTGCTTTGTGTACCAGCCACATACAGCTGCATCAATAGGCCTGTCAAGTGAGTTATCCCTCATTCACTGCTCCTTTCTCTTAAAACACACAGAATCTGGCTGACATGGCCAAGCTGACGCTCCAATACATTCCTGCTTCAATGTTTAAGGCTGGAATTAAACATTTAGACTGAAGATATTCTGTTCACTGTTAAAGCAAACCCGACAGGTCTATCTATTTCTTGTATAAATCTTTTCACTTACATTACCACGATCGACATTAAGTTCTATTTCAAATAGTGTTTCCAGGCGATACATTTTTCTTAATATTTCAAGTTGACTTCATCGGTAAAATAACACAAACTAACACTGATAGTTCTTCTGCTGTTTGTGGTTTCTTGGGTTGCTGGGAGCTCACACTCAGTGTTGCACTAAGTGTTGCGACTGAAGACAACCTCTAATCAATGAAACGTGCAGGCTGGACACACAGCAGCGTCTCTTCTGAGGCTCCCCAGCAGGCAATTACTGTGTTTGGGGAAAATAAATGAAATGACTAACAAAATAGGTCAAATTAAGTGTTTCCAAAAAACACTAACAGAACCTCCCTAATTGCTGGTCCCTGAAGGCACAAAAATACAAAAACAACAAAACATTATATTTCCCAGGCCGATGACAAGGAAGAGGCCGAAGAGCTGAGAATGGAGGACAGGCTGAAGGGAAGAAAAGGACACAGCATGGTTGGTGTAATTACATGTTTTGCCATCATCGGCAGTGTGTGCACCGTCCGTCAATCAACATCAGCGAGTCTGGAGCTGGAGCAGATGGCGTAGGAAGGAATTGAGCTGGTCATTGACTTTGCTTCTGCTAAGGACGGGAAGAGGGAGGCAACAGATTCAAAGGACACTCCTCTGAATCAAAGACTATATTGTATGTTGGCAAACTATTGAGCTGTGCCAGGATGGCCTCAACTAGAAGAAGCTAATTAGATATAGAGGATATGATAAGGCAGAGACATAAATCAATACAGAGGCCTTCTCGTCTTTTTTGATTTTACTCTTAAGATATTGTCCAGATTTCAGATGTCCTCATACTACTTTTGTTATGAGAAGGTGGAGGAGCAAAAGACAAATTTGCTCTCTGTGAAAACAATTAGTTTGCTGAATCTCCTAACAGACCATTTCCTGTTTCACGGCAGCCTCTGTTGTGACTTAATCTTCTGCTAAATAAAATTAGAGTGTGACTTCCTGTGCGACATTTGGTCCAGTGTAGCGCGGAGCAAATAATGGTGTGGAAGACAGAGAGCAGTCTTTGAAGCTGCTGCCGATGAATCAGGTTAGAGAGAGACTTTGAGCCATAATGACATTTCCTCCACACTCTTTTGGGGGGGGGGAGGATTTGGAGCTGGAAATTGCACCTTAGTGCTAAACGAAGCCTGAGCTTTAATTAACAGCAGCTACACAAAAGGTGATGGACATTACCCACAGTTCACAGCTCTCATGTTTCAATCCCTCCTCACTAAAGGAAGTGTCTGGGAAATTTGGGCAGGTGTCGAAGGAAAACAAAATAACACGCAAGCAGCCCTCCATTGTGATTAAATCACCGGCACAGTCATTGTGATTTTTCAAAGGGCACAGTCTGATCCTCTGCTCCATACCTGACTAACACACACCTCTAAGGCTTAAAGGTAAAATCCAGCTTAAGGCCCTTTGAAACTGTAACAAACCAGTCTGTGCTGAAGTGTCCTGCATTTCTGAAGTCTTTTGAGAAAAAACGTGATAAATCACAGTCCTTTAATTTTTTGGTTCATTATATAAAACAGAATATGATCACCAAAAATGTATACAGTTCCACATATTGTAAAAAAGCTGTCTCTCATGCAAAGACCTTAAAGTCACACACAAGTCCATAGTAGAAATGTATCCAACAGTAACCAACATTTTTTAGATACATATATTTTATACACAATCATTTGACTAACTAATTATGAAAAATAAAGTAAATTGGACATGTATGTCATCAACAATCCAGAGAGGAGATTTAAATTGAATGTGGAGCTAAACTGAGACCTTGAGTTTAAACTGAACATACAGATACTTAACCAGTCTGTACACTACTCAAGCAGCTGGAGTGTTAGACCAATCAGAGATACTTTTGTAGAAAGGAAAAAATATTTCTGAAGGTGGCCCTGAGAGGCGATCCATCCTCGTCTAAAGTTAATATTATTATGTTTTATATATATATATATATATATATATATATATATAAGAACAGAGGAACAAAACAAAATACACTTCACAAAAGATCCAGACCCATTAACACTGTTAAAAAAACAACTTGCTAACTTTGCTTTTCTGTACAGAACCATTACAACATGAATCTATATTATGAGAACTGAACTGTGTTGTCAGTATAAACATGCTATGACTGGACACATGTTCTATAAAAATGTCTCTTTATGTAGATCACATTGTAAACTGGGCAGCTTTTCTCTTCCAAGTCTTTTTACTGTTCAAAACATGAAAAGGAATGAAATCCAGGAATGTAACGAATGTAAATTCAAACCGGATTCTCAATGTCACAACACACATTCACTGATGTGTGTGTGGTATGTTGTTTTTGAAGCAGTTTTGGTTTGAAATCCCACAAAACCTGAAGAGCTTAAAAAACTGCCCCCTTATTTGTCCTAAATCCTTGAAGTGATATGTCTAAAGGATGTGGCTGTGCCCTCCATGAAATGCCGTCCTGAGAAGGTAGGGGTGTGTTCATGGAACGGTAGAAACAAAATGTGTCACAGTGGCTTGTAATTGCTCACTGGGGGGCTACAAGGTTAACATTGGTTCAGACAGAACAATTCACAGACATACTTCCCTTTGGCAGAAGCTCAAGGCTGCAGAACCTGTGGGACTGTTCCTCACAGTGCAAACAATAAATTCGGCTTCACCTTCAGTATTACAAAAAGAGCTGAATGAACCCTGAAAAGGCAGTGTGGGATGCACGTCTTTCATTTCACTGAAATTAAATGGCCTCAATATAATTCACTGATACACTGCTGCTGTGTAATCTCCGACTGGAATCACAAACAGAATGCCTGCGTCGATCTTTTTTTCCCCTCATGTGGAAACTACATAGGAACCATGTAACTGTATTTCTAACTGCTCATAGTGCAGGCAAATTATTGATTTCAATGCACTGTCTGAAATAAATCCTGGATATTGATTTTATGTCACTTGTTCTTCCGTTGCCCGCATCCAGTCTTAACAGGTGGAAGGGTGGCAGCTTTCCCGGCACAGGGGAGAGGACGCAATTGTGACCTGAGCAAAAGACAAACTGTTGTCACTTTTAACTTAAACTACATTATGTATAAAACAATGATTCTGACTCCGTAACTGAAGTCACAGTGAAGTGACATGGTGGTTGTACAGATCTGTCACAAAAAGAATAAGACATGTACATAATCCTGTCAACAAAGGCCAAACATTTGATGTTTTGAGTTTTGTGAAACACATTTCTTTTTCATACTTCATGACTATTGATAACATGTCCTGGATCTTTACGCTAATCAGACACACATCACATTAAACACTATCGGCAGGTTTCATAAAGAATTTGTCAGGTTAAATAAATAATAAGCAATAAAACAGATGTTGTCATATTTCCCTCGTCAGAAAGTCAAATGAAGGCGATGAAACTTACTGGTAAAGTGTTAGGACTCCAGGGCATCCCGCCGTCTCAGCAGGATCCTCTGCAGCTCCTCGTTTTTGTCGTTTGTTGCTGGAGCCACTGTCTTTGGTTGGTGGGAGGTTCTATTGAAACTCTCCTGGACAGTTTGAACAAGATAGAAAACCAACAAAGAAAGGCCGTGTGTTCAGACGCAACAGAAAGGAAAAGGCCCTTTGCAGCATACAATGAGCAAATTGCACTCAGACTGTTGAGTATTCATAATTACAAAAATGTATATACTGTAGGCTTACGCTTATTTTCTCTGCTTGGCTTCATCTCATATGACAGTTATTATATTGTTGTTAGCTCTCAAAATGTTACACCTCTCATTCGTAAAACATATGACAGCTTTTTCAACCTTTGTCAAATTGTATTATTTTTGAATATGAAATTCTGGTGTGAGCACATCTATGTAGAAAGTACAAAACAGAGGCTGTTATCCTTTGTAAACACACAGAAAGTTCATGCAGTAAAAGATGGTTTGTAAGGACATTTGATTGTTTTAAAGTCCCATTACCATGATTCCTTTAAGTTCCTGATAGGCAGAATTAGAGGGCAGCCTCTCCATCTGATAAAAGGAAAATAGGAGGAAAGAGATGGCTTTGGTAAATAAACAGCAGTCTGACACATTATACTTATTTTTCCTCATTCAGCACTTAGAGGCTAAACTGCACCTCTTACCACAGTGACGAGACACTGTAGGCAAGCACGCGGATGTATGCTTTCTACAAGACGCAAATGTGTAAACACACAATCATTTTGAGTCACGTCAATTTTCCCATCCTCATTATTTATAATTACCTCGTAGAGCAGGTCCTAATGCTATCTAATTTGTCTGAGTTGTTGTGGTGGAGGAACACACAGACTAAAAGATGTCTTGGCCATATGTCATGTTTTATCAAAACAAGCAGCTCCCAGATAATCCCACACACTGATGGATTTAAGAGCCCTGAACAATACACGCTGATGTCTGCAGCCAGTGATTTAGTTTGCCGATTTCAACAAAGATGACAACACATTTTCTGTCACAATCAAGGCAAAAATCACACACATGCACATTCTGTAATCACTCCTCAATCCCATGTGTTCATGTCTTTTACTTTTCAACTAACTTTCTGCAGATGGCGCTCTTCAATATGTCTGTCTTAAACTGGGAATGTTATACACATAACTCCATGTGTTACACGACCCACAAAGAGGTTTTACAACTACCAACACAAGGCCTGAGATGTCTAAGTTATGTGTGCAATAAGTAAGTCCAGCAACTACAGATAATTCACATGAATATAAATCACAAGACATAATAATAAATGAATTAGCAAGTTCCTTTATTATTATTTCAGACCCTGCTGTGTTTCTATAATATCCCCATAGTTACTGAAAACACTTAAGTAAACTTCACTGCTGAGATTGAGCTCAATACTTATGATACTTCTTTTCTAATGTCACTATACAATATATTGTTATATTTCAAACAAAGTCAGTGTCACCTATTTTATGACCTCATGATCTCTAATGCAAATATTAAGATTGTGTCCACTGTGATGTAAACCATTGGTTTATGGACTATTGTTTCAAAGCCCTTAGTTTTTATTTAGCTTTTCTTTTAACCTTTATTGAAGCAGGTAATCAACCCTTTGAGATCAAGATCTCTTTCATAAGGTGACCTGGCCAAGAGGGCAGCAGCACACATCATAAATAAATATCAGATGACCAAGAGACAGAGACAGTTCACATACAACTAGTGTTTATGATGAACCACAAACTGTTTACAGAGGTATCCAATCAAGTTAGATGTAGGGTCATGTTGTCATCTACTTCCACACAATCTGGCTACATTTTTTAACCATTGGAGCGACTCCCGCTGGCAGTCGGTAAGAACATGAATTATGCAACTTCTTGATTGGCTTCAGTCTTCTGACCCTGTGTCCATGTTCACTTCTTTTTGCACTTTGCATTATTCCTATTTATCTGAGTTTAGATTTACCACAGTTACACATGAGCTATTGTAGCGACTCATTTAGCATGTGACTGATTGACCCTTCTCATGACAGCAGTACAAACAGATACAGAACAAGAGGAACGATGTGAGTATAACCATGCACGTCTTTACCTGTCTTCTGGTTCTGGTTCTGGTGGGTGAGTGAGTAACAGGTCGAAGTTGAACACCTTTCTTGATCCTTTGCATCATTTCGTCCACGGCCTGCTGCCTGACGTCCACCCCTGTGAGTGTCAGACACACAGAGCAGGAGAGACAAAGATATGTCACCAACAAGCTTTAATTGTCTTTTTCAACAGAAGTGACACTATTTAGCAGCTTCACTGACTTTAAATGGGAGTCTGCCGGGGGAAACAGTGCCAAGAACCAAAGTGAGTTTAAATGATTTTGAGAGGTACCAGGCGCTGCGTAATTCACAGGCATCATTAGCCCTGCACTTGAAATATAGCTCATTTGGATTTAAAAGCTTAAAAACGACAGAAGCCCACAGGACCTATTTATAAAGTTATTTTTGGGAGAAACTCCAGACTTTTCCCTGTTGACTATCCTGGAAATATTGACTTTAATTCATTTGGATCCTTGTTAATAACAGGATCAACAGAGCAACAAAGTACATCTGCATCTTACTGTTAAAAAACTCATTATAATTCCAAAAACATGATGAAAACAGAGGCGTGTTTCAAAAGAATAATAATAAATACATAGATAACAAAACCAGAGATTACAGTAGAATAATGGATTAGGCTTAAGAAATGGAACAATAGATAATCAATGCTTTGGCTGTTTATTTGATAGCATTCAAAGCACACCTGCAGGGTTCAAAGCCTTTGTAAAATGTGAGGTTACCAAAGATATCGTGCAATCAATGAATTTGTTTTTTCTGTGAGAAAACACAAACAATATTTGGCAATTTTAAACCACAGGTTTTGAGAAGGAAGAAGATTTTAAAAAGTTGACAAAAGATTCTGCAGTAATGCAGAGCCCATCGGCAAAGAAATGTGAGTATTTGGTTTTCTTACACAGAGCATTCAGTGGCAAACATAATGTAACTATTGTCAGTAAAATGTCTTTACATGTCTCACAAAAACTATTTGTGGTAAAGAAATAGTGAAAGACTATTCTTCTGATGTGAGTCGAAGATCCTTGGGTGGCTTGGGTAGCACTGTGATTCCAACAAATACGCTGTGCATAGTGCTTAATTCAGGCTTCATATATTCAAAAACTCTTTAGCAAATTGAGGACGCATCTTAGTTTGTTCAATCAACATAGACGCCCTACCTTCTACAACGAGTCAAGGCCTCCTTCTTTTGTGCAAATTGAAGAGTTTAATGTGTTGACCTAATAGGCCATGATGAAGGTTTAATTTCTAATGCACAACCTGCAAAACACTTGTCCTTTGCAAAGACAAGTAAAAAGGATAAATCTGAAAGGCAAACAGAGCCTGTGCTCCTTCACTAATATTCATGAGAAATAGCAGCTTCAAGGAGAATAAAAAAACTAAATGAACATTGAATCGTAAATAGAATAACAAGCACACACGGCATGTTTGAATGGTGAGAGTAAGACTTACCGAATGTCATCAATAAAGCTCAGAACACACTCAGAACACAAGTGATTATCAAAAATGTTGCATAGACAACAAAAACATTTAAAAGATTAAACTTGAAATTGAAAACTCTTCTGATGTCTCGACTATAGGAGAAAACAATCCTTCATTTGTTTTATTCATGTACATGTATTGTTGTTGTCTATAGTATTTATTTCAGCCTCTGTGTATTTCCCTCCAGTTGTCCTCACGTGTGTCTCGTTAGTCTCCCCTGTGATTGATTACCCAGTATATTTAGTCAGTAGGTGCTTCTACACAATCTGACAGTAGATAGTCCCTCCTATCTGTGCTGAATACTGTTCAGTAGGCACGCACAGTAAGATGATTTTTTGGGGGGCTTTTTACCATTAATTACTATTATAAATGTTATCACTATTCACACTACCTTGACCATTTCTAATACTTGTACTTTAAATAACTTATTTTACGGCAAATTTACTTTAAAGTAAATAGAAATAAGAGTGTATACTGTAATTAAACAGGTGCATTATTTGGAACATCGAAGAAAGAGCAGATTACAGAGTCAAATTAGCAGTTTGTGGATGTCATACCTGGTGTCTCAGCAGAGTCTTTGTCCACCAATGGGATGTCAGTACTAATGTTTCTTCTCTTCCGGATCAATGACAATAGTGAACTACAGAAGAAGAACAAGTGGATATCAGCTGGTTATGAGTACTGCTTTCACTGCAACAGACCAAAGTCATGAAACAAACAAGGTTTTTAGTGAACTTTTTGGCTATTACATGCACAGCATTATGTCATAATATGTCACCAAAACTGTTGAGGCTTCAGAATTGTCCAAAGATGGCAGATAAAAAAAAGGAAAAAAAAAATCCCTTCCATGACCAATAAAAATACGTCTGTAAATCTGCTGCTCGCTTACAAAACAGCAACAAAAACGTCTCCTCCTCACTTTAACTCTTTCATCCAGGTTTACACTCCCTCCCGCCCACTACGCTCTGCCAATGAAAGGCGTCTGATCCAACCTTCACAACAGGGTCCTAAGACGCTAACTAGACTCTTCTCCTCTGTTGCCCCCGGTGGTGGAATAAACTTCCAAACTCCATTCGATCTGCAGAGTCCCTTCGGACCTTTAAGAAAAAGCTAAAGACCCAGCTCTTTAATGAATACCTACTAACTTAATGATGATGGTCTCGATATTAATGATGATGATGATGATGATGACAATGGTTTTGTTTGATAACGGCGTCTCTAAGATGGTTTCTATACTGACTTGCGCTCTCAAGAACTGCCGTCAATGTTGTGCTTTGCCTCTGTGCAATGCCTGTCAGCACCTGTGTGTCCAATCGGACTCAAAGCTGATCGGTTGCAATTACTGACGTTGTTTCCTTTTTCTAGATCCTTGCTTGTGTTGTACTTACTCTCTGATGTACGTCTAAGTGAATTGTAGAGTTGTAGAAATCTAGTGTTGTAGTACTTGAATCGGTCTTGGTCTTAAGACCACTTTTTGAAGGTTTCATCCCGGAATTGAAAACATTTTTACTCGGTCTTGTCTGGGTTTCAGACTGGACAAACTCGTGTTTTCAAATCAAGACTGTTCAAGACAACCACTTCCAGGCTATTTTCCAACATCATTCCTGTGATTAGAAGGAAAACACCTCTTTCTAAAAGAACGAATAACTTCAATTCATTCACAATTCGATTTTTATTTCTCGTTTATGGCCGCAACCTTCCCAATGCAAAGGACTAAACGAGTGACACTCCCCCTGTACACTAGATGATTTTTCATTTATATTAATGGTCTTGGTCTTGTCTCAGTCTCGATCCCTAAATGTCTCAGTCTCGTCTTGGTCTTGTCTCGGTCTTGGAGACCTCTGGTCTCAGGTATATCTTGTTCTTGGTTAGTGTGGTCTTGACTACAACACTATGTAAATCCAACAAAAAGCGCTGCAGTCTGGTTGTGTTAAGGCACCAAAACTATTTGAGAAATAAATAAAAAAAGAAATTTGTTCTGTTTAAATATGAGTCATCATGAAGATAATAAAAAAGAAAGTAGAGACACATTATGCTTTTATTCAAAACATTAAAAAAATAAATAATTTAACAATGACTTTTGGTATTGCAAGGTTAACAATTAGAGCGTCATTGATGCAAGTTGTGTGTGTATGACCCATCTATCACCCGGGCAGCCACCAAACTGGACTTTGTGCCTCTACATGCTTTTTTCCCTTTAGTAAATGTTTTTCTGTAAATAAAATGCTTCCATTTAAAACAGTTTAATTAAAAAAAAAAAATCAAAGTGAATTCAAATCCAGAAAATGGTTTGATCAACTGCCATGAGACCAGTTGGCACATTAACTCTAATCAATCTAATAAATCCAAAAGTCAGCATTGTAAACCTATTTTGCATACTGGTGATTGAATGTGATCGAACCTGAGTGGGTTGGAGGTTGGGGGTGCTGGGGCCGGGGGAGGAGGAGGTGGTGGGGGAGGTGGTGGTGCTGGTGCTGGGGGTGGGTTAATGGCTGCCTGCAGCTTCTTCTGGAGCTCTTCAACTGGCCAAGAGAACACATCGGTTAAAATAAATACACAGCAACATCGCAGAAAACAGACCCTGAACAACAGCTAATGGTCTTCCAGGATGACAATAGATGTGAAGAGCATCTCATGGTCACACTTTAAAGCAGATGGGGCCTGTTTGGATGGTTGTAGCCTACATAATCAGTGCTACCTCACACAGTAATGAATCTGCATTGTCCTCTCTAGTAAATAGTGTAAAGCCCACAGGAGGCCATCCTTATGCTCTGAAAACATCTTCACCTGTGAAGCGCAGATCTTTGACCTCCACAGCAGCCTTGGAGAACTTGTCAAGATAATCCATCTTCTCCTCCTCCATAAGCTCTAGTTTACGCCTCAATGCTGTCAGATCCTTCTGAGCCTCACAGCTCCTCAGCCTTTCCTCCGTCTGCTTTATCTGAGAATGAGAAAAATATAGAGTCTATCTTTTATACCACAAAAGGCCTGTATCGATTATGAACAAGCGTCCAGTTAACTTATCAAACTTCTTATTAGCATGAACCGAATAGTGGCTATTAGAGGTTGATTTAATTATTTTCTTTATAAATGTGTTACTTGAAAAGAAAAATGTTAATCTATAAAATAATATTTTTGTTTGTATTCTACATCTTTCTGTGAAAAAAAAACCAACAGCTCAGCAGCATTTTATTGGCTCTAGCTCCTGCTGTGATGATTTCCGATAAATAGCGTTGGGTAGCTGCCAGTTGACATTTAGTCGTCTGCTCCACAACCCCAGTTCCTTAACTAGTCTTTTAATTGTTCCTAAATGAAGGGTATGTCTCACCTCCACCCCAGTTCCAGCAGAGATCAGCGATCCCACTCAGCTCTAATTGTTTTCCATCAGAGCCTGAGAAGGTGGGAGTGAGCTGGAGGCAATGCTGCTGTTTTTAATTATTAATCCCAGAGGTCAGATCCTCAAGGTTTTACTGGTATGACCTGTGATTATTCACCACGCATTCCCCCTTGCTGAAATTAACCAGATAATTCTTGCTTTGATGCATATAAATTCAAAACATTTCATGTGTAAAGCCAAAAAATTGTAAAAATGCATTTACACATTTTGTTTTTTTAGTGGGCAAAGCGTGAGCTTTATCTTGACAAACCTGGGTAATACTAATATACATTCAATGTCTGTTAAACTATAGATGTTTCTGTAATCACACACGTATGAACTGAAAAAAAGATCAAAAACTGATCTTTTCTACATTGATTTATTGAATCTGTTAAATCGTAGTTGAGCTGGGGCTTTATTTTTTTTAGCAGACAGACGTCTGGTGTTTTACATCTTGTGCAGATCTACATTTTAAGAGCAGGTTTTGATAATACTTTTTATTTTTAGTATTCGTTTTCTGGCAGGCTCTAAAATGTCCACGTGTCATTTAAATTTAAAGTTCTTAGGTTGTTGCTTTTAAATAAGGAAACTAATTCAATGTAATATCTTCATTAAGACTGTAAGAGGCTTATCAAAGATGCCTAAATCAGATAATCAGATAATAATTGATAACTTATTTTGCTTTTATAAAATAAATATAACATAGAAATATAGAAATACTACGTGCTTATGAGTTATTATTCAGGATGCCAACATGTCAGCGTGTGGCTACACTTCCTTACACTTTTCTTCTATACAGTTCCTCAATGTCAGCTTTTAAGAGTCCAGTTTGTACACACCTGATCTTGGTGCTCAAGCCTCTGGGACTCCAGATCTTTGGTCAGTCTGGTGACCTGGCTGAGGGCTTCCTGTAGAGCTTGACTGGGCAAGGAACTCTGCATCAGGATCTGACTCTGTCTCTTTAGCTGCTTTTGCTCAACCAACATCTTTAAAAAAGATCACAAAAAAATGGATAATCCGTACACATGAAATAGAGTAAGTACACATTGTTGCAATGGACAAAACAGCAAAATGATAATTATTATTAGCGTAGAGTGTTACTGTGAAAAGTTACCGCTCTGGCAAACTTCTCGGCCTCTGTTCTCAGGTCCTGCTCCAAGCTCAGGGCGTCCTCCAAGGTTTCAAATTCCTCCACAGCAAAGTGAGACACTGAAAAGGGTTTCCAAATGGTGTTATTTGTTCCTTTCTACGGAACAGAGCATTACAATAAAAAATAAAGTCTCAAAACTTACCTCTGTTATATTTGCCCAGGAGCTTCTTCTGCTGCAATGTCTCAGCAATTAAAACAGTGTTATCATGTTTCTCTTTCAGCAGCTGCAAAGGTTAGAAGGGACGGAGTAGCAGAGGAAAAACAAAGATGAAGTATACAAATAGTTACTAACAGTTCTATTTCACAGACATTCACAGAAATACTTTTCAGATCAGATTCCTGAAGCAACAGGTTTTATTCAACTCCAGTCAACAACTGGTTTTTGTAATGTAATTCTTTACAGTAACCAACTTATTTGAGTTTTAAATTAAAATACACAGTGCTATAAACTTAAAAAATTGGTTTAGTTTTTGATTAGCTTTATTGGTTAACCTCCATGAACTGAAATCATAAAACAAGGCCAACAAAGTAGGATGAGTTCTGCCCAGCCCATACTGCCTGCCTGTGCAGCATGTGACTGACACCTCAGTCACATGAAAATGCTGTGGCTTACAAAGTAAAAATCATAGGCACCAAAACGACACATATTTTGACACTGTGGATAACCAATGAGGCCAAAAGTTTAGATGTTTCTTCATTATAGCAGTTTGGTGAGTTTTAGTCATCTTCTTATTGACAGTTTTACTCTACATGTTTTGGCTACAGAACCAAGACCACACGTTTACAGTTCACTTTCTATTAATGAAGCAGCAGGTTGAATCATGCACTAGTCCAAACTTGTGAGCTTGTATATTTCTTTGTCCCAGCTTAATGATATAGAGGTACAATCAAACATTTGTGTTGTATATCCAAACTGAGAGAGGAAAAACAAAAAAAACATACCTCCTCTCTGGTATGCTTCAGTTGATCTCTCGCTGCCTCAAGATCCAACATTGCTTGATTTTTCTCCTTCAGTGTGAATTCCAATTGACTTTGAAGGTCTGAAACAGAACTGAAGCAGTGTTAAACTATATCACATTCAAAATTAATCTTGTTTTCATTTCACTTAACACTTTATATGTATATATTATATAAATCTACAATAAAACCAAGGTTAGTGTGTCCAGCCTCTATCTAATGCTGAGGACATACTATAGTGTATCATACCAGTATATGCAGTAAAGTAGTGAGAACAGAGGTGAACATACGGTCATAGTTGTCATAGCTATTCCTTTTGTCTTTATATATATCTAAATGAATACACTGTGACATTATAAAACAACAGCTGCATTAACAGACTGTTTTGTTGTTCAAATAAGATTTTGTCTGCCATCTGCTGCATGTGTCAACTGCATGAAATTCTGGAATTTCTGTGGCCACGAATTTCAAATAACACCCTTTTGTTCAGAAATTTGAGAATTACACAGAGATTGAATCTGGTAATAGAAAGCTGCTCACAGCAGGAACAGGTAGAGACATTTAGGAGGGTACTTAAGCAGAAAAAGGTCGCTGCCATGTAAAATTGTTTTTGAGGAGAGATGGAATGCCCTTTGTTGAATGTGAGATGTATTCTGATAGACTTAAACTCTTACATCAAATGCTAAAAATGTAATAACAGATAAAGAGTTTGAACAATAGTACAACCTTGTTTGACTGTTTTTGAATGCATTCAAGGTAAACCTTCGTATGGTGGAAATAAAAGTGAAGTGAACGTATCCAATGAGTTCCCTCACAGAAACTGCTTTGACTAGCTGTCCATTAACATACAATTATGAATTTTCATTTAAGGCACACAAGTCAACTTATTGCTGTACTCATTCATCTTCTAGATCTGGGTATATTATTTGTAAATGACATGATTATCTCTCTATTTTAATGCCAACAGCCTTGAACAACATGATGAGAAGCATCAGGGAGCATGAATCCATTATCAGACGAGTTGTAATTACTGTTTGACTAAAGGAACTGACCGTGACATTTCCCATGGACAGCTGAATGGGAAGGAAAGTAATTTCTTCGTACATTGCTGATGACAGTTAAACACTGGTAGATCATGCTGTGCAAGTAACTAGTTTAGCATTTAAAATGCTAGTTGTTTTTCAGCCAACATTCCATATACTTTAGCAGAAATAATTAAAAACTGAGACCAATACAATGCAAACCATGGGGACATCAGTATTAACTAATCCCATTCATACACATTCAGACGCTGCACACTAAGCAGCAGGAGAAACTTGGGGTTCAGTAAAAAAACATCAGACATGTGGCTTCAGGAGCTGGGGATTGAAACCCTGACCTTCCTGTTGAGAGACGACTAACTCTACATCTAATCCACAGCTGTCCCATGATTCCATTTCACTTGGCATCTTGGATCTGTTTGTTGTGTTGGTGCTATTTGGAGAACATCGTCATGAAATAGGCCTATTGGTCAAAAGTATGGCTTGCTGTAGGATTTATTTTACAAACAGACTGTAAATGAGGTCCATTCCCTCAACTTTTTGGGTGACTTAAATTATAGAAATAAATGTATTTTTATGCTGGCACACCCTAGCAACTTTACTTCTCTCTAATTCTTATTCGACCCCTGAGTAGGTACCAGATCTGCTCGGGTGGTCACATCTGCTCTGGGTCCTGCGTCTGCTATTGACGTTACACAATATGATTGACTGAACATCTGTATTATGATATAGCGCATTGGGATTGGCTGTTTGTCTTAGTTCACAGATGTAGTTTTTCACGTGTCTTCAGACAGAGAATATAGATGAATGCTATAAATCTATGGATAATTTTTTATCATGATATACAAGAGCAGTCAAAACTGGTGTAAACTGTCATGTGTTTTGGACACAACAAGAAGTTAGAGCACATACGACACATTTGACGTTAAACGAGTTTAACATGGTACACAAGTCTTACTGTCTGTTACCAGTAGGTGGCGTCATTACAAACATTGACTATTGGCATGTAAATATGTTCAGACAGGGACTCTCATCAATCATGTAACATTGAAAGCAGTTTGGACGCTGTGTATTTGTTTCTCTTTCGTACGTAGACATTGATCTCTCTCTCTGACGCACAGCCAATCACAATGTACTACATCATTACACAGACGCAGGCAAAGGACCCCGAGCAGATCTGCACCGGCAGTCCCAGAAGAATGGTTGACATTGTTGTCAAGTCTAATGCATATATTCAGTCTCAGGATCCTACACTTACTTTATCGCATCAGCTGTCTTTACGATACCATCACTTCATGGTAAATGTCCACATCTTTCTGTATGGGGCCTCACAAATTCAATTCAATGCAGCAATTTCTAAAATATTGAGCTTAAGACGTGTACCTGAGATGATGGACGGGCACTGCGGGGAGAGGCAGACCTTGGCTAGTTCATCACTTTCCTCCTCCTCCTCCTCATCTTTTTCATCCTCAAGGTTGATCTCAGTGATGGTCTCTGGGCTAAGGTGGGACAGCAACATCATGCTTTTCCTCTTCAGAGAGCAGTTCTGACGGTTTAACTACAATGACAAGTTACATAAGGAAACATGCACTTAATGCGAATGGCACTCAAAGGCAAAGTATGTAAAGGTGCTTAATGTGAGATTTTATAATTCTAGAAATGAAGTCATCTCAGTGAGAGCTGTACTGCACACATTGCTATGAAGAACTTTAATTTTGTTTAGTTGCTCCTGTGGACCAACTAGTATGTTTTTATCTAAAGAAAAAAACACAAAAACTTTTCCAATCTATGTGCCATTTCTAAGCAGCGGCAAATGTCCTAAATGAGCCAAACATTTATGACGTATTTCAGTGTGGTCTCTGTTGGTTGAATAAAAAGAAACAACCCTTCCAACAGTGTAAAATGATTCAGTGAAACAGGCCGATGATGGAGAATGTTCTACATTGAGACTTTTAGATCTCAGTGCTGCTTTGATACTGTGACCACTGTATGCTGCTCGTCAGTGGGTTGGTCCTCATTGTGCCAGTTAAAAATAAGACCTTCTTGACTGACTTTGTTTTGTGTCATTACCCAAGGTTCTCCTTTAGGCCTATTTGCATTGCACTGCACAACAAGAGAACTGCAACTTCCTACTGAGTGAGAACTGAGACTTTCTAGTAAATGCATGAACACAAAGGGTGTGAGTTTGTCACTTCCCAAAGGGTCATTATGTTCTAAAACAAGTTATTAAAGAAATTGCTGTGCGGGTGCATTATAGTCTTGTTAAGCTGCCCGAAAACATCTTAGATTTCTGCTTGTGCTTTTAAAATCATCTGACTGGAAAGAGAAAATGTGCGGATGTCTGAAAAATAATTTCAGAGTTAATTAACTACACTCGTTAAGCAACACTGTGGTGAAAATAACTCTATCAAGTAAATAGTTTTACTTTAGAAAATGAATAACGCACCTAAACACCAGAGTATATGGCAGAGCAGCAAAAACAACTTCTGAATGCTAATTTTATAGCATATTCTGCACACATGTCCTAAAAGATGACATGAATCCAACTCAAAATGATAGAGCCTGCATCTTACATCACCTTCATTTTTTCAAATCTGCATAGAGTGACAAGCATGCTTTGTATTAAACGAGTAGAAAACAGGCAAAGAAATAAGGTGGCAGAGCGACAGATGAGATGTTGTTGATTTCCTCTTTTCTTTGGCCCTGCAATCAGTCATAATGGCAGGATGCATGCAAAAGCAATGATAAGGTGTGAAAAAAACAGACATCATTAGAGGAGCACAAGCGGACGAAGGGAAAGGCACTGAATATCTCTCCTTTTAGCTGTAATCACAGTTTTTTGATGTGACATGTATTTGCATCTTGCATTTCTGTGCATCATGTTTTTCGGTGTGATTATCACTTCTAACACTTATTCTTATGTGCTGTTTTTCTCGGCAACTCTGGAAATTCTACATGAAGCACGCATACTAAACTGCTACAATGGCCAATCCATTTCTAAAAGTTCAATCATCGGTACACCATGTATGTATCAATTAAGGAGGCAGTCACTAAGTAAAACATCAATGAAGCCTATGGGAAAGAGATAGATGCCAATTATGCATGGCTCTTGATGTCATCTGAAGGAAGAAAAGTGCCAGGACAGTGGAGAAAAAAAAAGAAGAAAACTAGAAAAGGCGAGCCATAAAAGAAACATTTATTAATGGCATCCTGGTGGGAGCAGATTGCAGCAATTCCATCTTTTGATGATGCCCTTCAAACTGCATCTTTCTTTCTGAGATGCAATCAACAACACACATTCTTCTGCTAATAATGTACAATTCATGAGAGATGTACGTGGAAAATGACATACTAAGATAAATCAAAACTGACATAGCACAGGGTTAGCACTCTTTGGAGTTCACCATTAAAAAGTCTCGGCCCCTTCATTTTACCTTCAATCAGGCATCAACAAAAAACATCAAACATCAAAACCACATTATGATTTGACTGGTTTTAAATTGGTAACACTTGTTTTGTTTTGTTTTTTAATTTGAAGTGTTAACAGTTAAGGGAATTGCTGTGAAATTCAGCTCCATTCAGAGTGGCCTTGAAAAATATTTATTTAGCAAAATTACTGTCGTAAAGATATAAAAAGGAATTAATAAAGATTCCAATCTGTCTCTCGTCCTCTGTCAACACCTCCTCATGTACTTTGAGTATGATTGAAAAAAGAAAGAGTGATAAACTGATATCAACACCCTCAGAGTTGTGACTTTACAATGCCTCCAAAACTCAGCTTTAAGGTCAACAGTGTTCAAAGAGAAATGAATTCTCATGGATGCCTGGTGAACAGATGTCAATAGCAGATGTATAGACGTATTACCAGAAAAAGCAAATCAATGACTCTAGGGCTGTTTTCGAAACCGCATACTATACTACTAGTACATACTGATTTGGCCAAAATGCAGTATGTGAACAACTGCGAGATCCGCAGAATGCCAAAAATACCAGGATGTCATACTGATTCGGGAAAATTGTACAGTATGCATCGGACCAGTCTACCTCGCGAACTGTTTCCCACAATGCAAAGTGCAAGGTCAGAGATCAAAATGCCGGAGTGCAGCTGATTGAACTCGTCGATGGCGGTGACTGAATATCTTGCCACATTATGGGCATAAACAAATATGACATGTTCATATATTTATAAGTCTTACCACCTCGGATTTTCCTGCTTTGTAGACTGTACAGTGCATGTTCCACAGCTGGACAAGCAGCTGCAGTTACAGGGTCCTTGGCTTGCTCTATTACTACAAATTATTAAGTTAAACCTGAATGTCTGAAAAGTATACTACAACTTTAATAGCCTGCCAATCATATTTCAACCCAGGGCAACAAATGACAGAATATATGAGTGATTGTAGACTTGTTTTTTTTAATTATGTTAATTTCCTTCAGATGGGCTGTTGTTTACTTCCGCATTCCAGGACCGGAAACCAGTTTAACCGTGCCCATCATACTGCAAAATAACCGACGACTGGCAGTCATACTACATACTACTGATGAACTCAGAATGCAGTATACAGTATATACTACATACTGATTTAGATAGTAGTATGTAGTACGCGGTTTCGAAAACAGCCTAGGTCTTTGTGCCCACCACAGAGAGTGCGGATACACCCTGCTATATTAGCAAGGCAGGCACATGAAATACCTGGTTATGGTTAATGTTTTTTTATCAAGGAAGGAGAGGAGGACGATGGAAGAGATGAGACCAAATACATCAAATAAAGCTAGAAAGAGAAAAGTGACTTAGACTGGCCAAAAAGGAAGCTTTTAGCCAGAATATTCTTAAGAAATAGATTAACTCCGGCTGTCAGACCAGAAGCAGGAGCGTTTTATTGCTGCCTCTTAGTGACCCTGTTCAGAAGACATAGCCTGATACGTAATAGTTCCTGAGGCCACTTTTTGCACTTGAGTCAGTGGATGAAGAAATGTAACACAAAATAATCTCTCCCACATTTCAAGGCAATGACAATTAATCAAATCTGATTCTGTGTCATCAGTTGCTGAATATTTACTTTGCAAGACCTCAGAATTTCAAAACCTGCACATTTCCATCCACAAGTAAATATGGACAAAAAGATTTCAACATATTTGGCTTTGTTGGTTTTCTGTGTTTTGATTTGAAAAGAAGGTCCATATGTTTCTCTTCATGTACTTGAATGTATTTTACTTTGAAACATTTTTGCAAAAGCTCATTTTGCACTAGGATGGTCTGATGAATCAGATTTAATATGACTACAGATCAGTCCTGCTCTCTGTTTTCTCGAATTATGAGGCTCAAACTTCAATTCCTTTGATTTTATATGTTAATTATCTGTCATAACCATTTGATCTGCTGTCCACCCTCTCTTTAATAATTAGCTTTATTTCGATAGGAGATGAAACAATCTATCAGAGTTGAAATTTTCAATTCTTACCGTAGAAAATGAATTTTGTTGAAAGTAAATTCTTCAGACATGAACCTTACATGGAGAGCTTGAGCTGTTGCGCTCTAAAGAAATATCATCATCCTGCAAGACAATACTTACCTAGGAAGGACATACTCTGACTCTCTCATTTGTTACAGCAATCATTTTCTTCAGCCACACATAATTTCATTTCTTTTTACAGAGAAACTGCGGTTTTCATGTAGTTTACAAAAAAACAAATGTACTCTGTCATTATAATCATTGTAAAGTATTTGGTCCACACTGGATTTAAGAGGGCAACAGAACTGTAGGGAAAGAAGTAAGAAAGAAGTCAAATTAACTAATCAGTAATTTCAGAGTGAGTTCAAGGCAGAAAGAGTATTTTCATTCCTCATTCATTTGTTCAATCATCCATCACTCTCTCGCTCCCAAATCTCTCCTTTGCTGTTTATCTAATCAGTTGATCAAAGGCAATAACTATCTCAGTATTAAATAACTAGATTTAGCCAAAACCTCCATCAACCAATAATTCTGCTGCTCTTGATATTGGACTGTGTTCACCTCTCTGCTGCTGTCATTGTCATTTCAATCATTTCAATGCTGTTGTGTTACAACCCTCCTCCACCCCGTTTACCTACCATTCTTCTCGTCCTGTTGTTGGGTTTAACTCATCGCCACCTAAAGCACATCCTTTCTTCAACAGTGCCTGGACAACATCATGGGGTATCCTACACTGCCCTCTGCCTCATTACTTATTAAAATATATTAAGGCGCCGTGTCACCGGGATGTAATCACTACAGACTTATCACACCCCCAAATCTGTCTGATTGTTATAAAATATCTGTTCACTCACCTGATTGGCATTTTTTTCTTTTACAAATTGGAAGAAAAAAATGCAGATGCTGGCTGAGATCTGCCATACCATGTTCTATTTTTTAAATCATGTGAATCACAAGGTTATGGACAGAGGTGCTTGATTGGTCAAGACAATTTAAATAATAGTCGATCCAAATTGGAAATAAACTTTAAAATATAACCCTTTCCCGTTATATTAAGTGTTAAATTTCCGAGTTTATACTATTAGGCTTCATTTACTTGGCCAGTCTGTCTATTCATTATTTTGGGACTCATGGTTAAATATCATGTTCATGTTCAAAATGTAAAAAAAGAAAATATAGTGTTCTTTTTTTTTTGTCTTTTGTTTTTCTCTGTTTTGCCGGAGAAATCATTGTTATAAACTTTGAGTAGAGGGTAAACCTCAGCAACTGGCCAAACAATCTGTGAACCAGTAGTATTGATCTTCCCCTCGGTCAAGATATCTTGAAGTAATTTTAGGCATCTAAAACTGTACTTTTGAGCCCTGTAAGATGAGGAGGAAAAAAATAGCAAAGGAAAGAAGAGGACTGAAGCTTAGAATTGGTAAGAAAAAAAAGGCCTAAAAGTCGACCTTCACCATAATTCTACCTCCGCCTCCCACTGCCCAAAATCTGGTCCAACCAGGTGGACTCTGAGAGCTTTTGTCCAGAAATTGAATGAGAAATGATTACAGTGATAAGCTCAACACCATTGGGCTGCAAAATGACCATGTGCCTGGCTCCCCCACTCTCAATCACAACTCACATTTTAGCAAGGACTCCAAAAAAGTGTGCTCTGAATCAAAGGAATCCAATGCAATTTTAGACATTAAGATATGGGGACCGCAGCAGCACTGGAAGACCACAGAGTACTTTTGATTGCTGCATACAGATTGAAACTGTCAAAGGGACCGTTGACTGAATACAGTTATCTTAAATTATTTAATGCTGATGCATTATTTCGAAAAAAAATGTTGTTAATGGATAATTCTGATTAACATACTCCTCTGTTGTTTAACATTATATCACCTTCTTGGTACTGAACATGTTGAATTGGACTTGAATTTAACTTGAATGTAGACATACTAGGGCAATGGTAGTCATGTCGGAAAAAACAACAACCAAACAACAGATGGTATGAAAGACTGCTAGATGAAGGTTACCTTAGAGGCCAGGGCTTCAGCGCCTTCCCTACACGTCCTCTCGATCTCCAAGTTTTCCTGAATGGCATTAACCTCTTCAATGACCAGCTGAGAAACTAAGGGGAAAAAAAATGTTTTAAACAAAAAAATATATATTTTATACAAGAACCACTGAGAGTGAAGTGTGATTCTGAGTATTGAATTTTGTCAGCAATTTAGGACCAAATTATCAGAATATGAAATCGAATAATACAATAACACAAACAAAAACAGACCAATCGAACACATGTATATATTTACAAGTAGTACAATAATGTTCCTCTATGGTGGAGAAGGTAGTTAAAAATGGACTGCAAGGAAAAAACTCTCAAGTGATACATATAGATCCTACTGGAGCACAATATTTGGCTGATTACTTTCTGTCATATCCGATTGGAAGGAAGTTCGATAAAGTCAATAATTCTTATTATGTTTGAAAAACAGGAAACTGAAACTTTTAAAAATAGTAGCATTTCCTACCCAACCAGTAAAGCAGTTTTAATTTAATGTTGAAAACACCAAGCATTTCATGCCTGCATTATATAGTTTATGTACTTTTATAAACATCTAATGTGTTTAGTGTTTCTTCTAACTGTTAAGAACCTTTAGACTTGAATGTTAATATCTGTATTTCTTGGCTTTTGGTCACTCGGGTTATTAGGTATTTAGAGGCAGACATCAAAATTATAACACAATTCAGATTCATCTTAGAATGTGTGCCTCAAAACAAAGAAGCCCACTAATTAGTAGTCTTTCTTAATGTGACAATGTTAATAAAATATGACAAACAGTATTTCACATAACACTTAATGACTGCATTCATTTCAGTACAAACTTAAACAGTCATCTCACGGCCATTCAACCTGATCAAAACGGCAACAAAGAAACACAGAGCATGATTAATTGATTTTTTAAATACATGGGTGCATACTGACTTCTCATTTCATTGCGCACTTAATTGAGATAAGAGTGCTGTAACACTTGACACTGAAGAATATTTCTACTTGCCATTGAGTCTATCATCCAAGTAGCCTCAATGATGAGTGACCTAGGTGCAGCGTTTTGATTTGATTTCAAAAGGAAGTGAACTAAATGTTGTCCCCAATGTATCAGATAATTTACCCTACCATTTCATCTTCATCAGCCAGGACCAAGGTGCATTGACTAACGACTGAATACATACAAGAAACAACGTAAGAGAAATAGGACATGAATACAGACAATACCTTAGATGGTATGTGGGATTTTTTGTTAAGAATTAAACATGTGATGCACTTACCCAGAACATTTGCCCTTAAGCCTTTAATTATTTGCTGAACTTATATACAACAGGGCTGTGCAAGAAAAGAATATAATTAGAAGGCCATATGATTTTAACAGATTCATAATAAACTGCATTCAATTAAATGAATGGCACCCAATTTATGTAAAGTAAAAACTGTACGTTCAATATACAGCAGCCACAAAGTGTATGCTAATAACGTTTTTCTTCCTCCTGCACCTGTTCATTCTTTGCAAAGGCAAAAAATAATTATTATTATCTATATTGTACTACTTAAAAGGAATTAAATGAAACAAATACAAATTAAATGAATTTGATCTTCTGTAAAGATGTGCATGCTTGATTTTGTAGTTTCTTCACACTTTTATGTCAAATGACATTTATTGTTTGACAACTGAGGCGTTGTCAAAATATACATAAGGACTCATTTATTATTGAGCTTTTTTCAAATTACAGTGCAAAGAGTAATGAATAAGTAATTGTCTTTTTTTATTTAAGTAATCGTCTTTTTTTAAATAATTTTTTGGGGTTGTTTTGCCTTTACTAGAAAATGTGGGGCGTGGGGGAGGACACGCAGCAAAGTGCCGAGGTTGAATTCAAACCCAAGGCCGCTGTGCTGAGGACGATTGTCTCCATATGGTCCACTGTGGACCCAAGTATGAGGATTTTTTTGAAACTCGAAAACGGAAATACAATTTATTTTATCAACTACTTGTTCAAAGGCAATGATTGCATTTTCAAACTAAAATGAAATGCGTTCTTAAGTTTGATTTGAAGCTTAATCACTCTAAAAAGTTAGACTGAATGTCCAAATTCTTAAATTCAAGCCCAAACTATTATTGCATACTAAACCTTACTAAATAGTGTTGGTGCTTAAACCTTACAAACTGCTACTGATTAGAGACAAACCATGATCGTTGTTTGCTTCTAACATCAAAACCACTGCCTTACCTTAGTGTGGGTTAAATACACAAATCAATACCTGCATTTTGCATCACATGTGACAAGAAGAGTAGCCTAATAGGGATGACATATTGTTTCTGGCCTATTGGCTACTGGCCTATCACATCGTAGCACAGCAGGGCAGGAGAGTAGATTAAACCCAATGTTTTCTTCTATCGCTGTTTTGGTCTCCACCTCTCTTTTACTGCTGAATGCTCCATTATTTTACTTTCTAGTTGCTAACTTCATTTGTACACTATTTGGCATTTGGAGCAGCCTCGGGAGAATACACCATGCACTGCAAAACTCTGCACAAGCTGTGATGTATCTACAGGAAGGTCTGCGCCTGAGAGAAGCAAAAATGCTTCATAGAGCTGAGGTGAACTGCAGATTCTACGATGACTGTGGGCTCATTCTAAATGGCATATTTTGCATTACCCAGTCATTTGACCCATTGTTCGTATGAAAAAACATTGATTGGTGCAGCTTCAAATAGGTATTAAAAAAAAATCAGGTATAATTCCGAATCACAAACTGTGATGTTGTTGAAGCTGCAATCACACGTCAGTACAAAAAGAACGCCCCTAAAGAATGTCCCAACACTTATCTAATTAAACATTGTGGTTGAGCGAGGAAGAAATTAAGCATTGCTGCGGGCAATTCCTTCCCCTGGTGACACCTAATTAAGAACCTGATGAACGAAAGCGATGGGCAATATCCACGTTCTAGCTGCTCCCTCCACATCAGTCATTCAATAGCACTTAGCTGCTAGGTTTCATCCTCGGCCTCTTCTCTGTTCCTATCTGCCTGTCTCCATAATGCCGTGGCCACACTCAGCAACCTACGAAAGGACGCCTTGAACTAAATGACATGTTAATTATAATAACTGGTAGCCATGGTAAATAAACAGCAGTGGAAGTGTTGAAAGTGTATGAGTGCGAGTCGACAGGGGGCTCTGACACGTCAGAACTGGCAGTCTTAATTGTAAGTTTCGGCCTCCCCATCATCATCACTCCATCTTTCCCCCCCTCTTTTTTGTGCCTGTCGTTTTTCATCGTCCTCTCAGGAAAGACAGTGATTACCCCTGTGCCGACATGCTGCATAATGGTATCAGCGCCGCCAACGGAGCAGTGAATTAAATTGTATCTGCAGTCGCTGTGAAGCCTTGATGAGGGGGGCAGATGCCTTTGTGGTGTTATCATTATAACACAATGGTCATGTTGTCATCAACCTTGCCATCGGCAATTGAAAAGGCATGATTGTGTGTTGGGGGCTTTTTCTCCCGTCCTCCCTCTACCCCCCTCACCAGCCCTGCCGCCCCATCCCCAGCCGTTTCGTTGTGAATAGGAGCAATTTTCTAAGAGCTATGAAATCACGTAATAGGTCCTAATATGCAGCTGCTTGGCACAGTGAGGCAGCCTCTATTAGCGCGGAAGTCAAACACAATATGTGTTTTGGCTGGAGATTCGCTGAATATATGAGCACAGGCCAGATTTATTCAGATGAAAAGCCACACAACTGTCACCGTTACAAAGACAAACTATTTGCTCCATCCTTTGACATGTGGTGCCCTATTTCAAATTCTGTCTTCACTCAAGTGGTCACAGCAAAGCATTCAACCTGTAGGATAATCATTTTGGAAAACTGAATGGTGGGCCAATACATGTGGAACACATTTTTAGTGTTTGGAAACAGACCTCTAATAAAAGCTGGAACAGCGAGACATGCTCACCAATGCATATGTTGTCACATTTATATCATGTGGGCAGGCATGTTGAATCTTCTAGAGAACATGCCAGTGTTTACAAAGACATTCAGGGCTCACTAGTTAACATAAACCTCAGTGTTTTTTCCCTTCAGTTATAACTGAGGCTCTGTGAAACAGTAAACATTAGCAGAGGAATCATCTGATACAGATTAATAACAGATTAAAGGAAAGTAATAAATGGTTGTCCCCTACAGTGAGGGGATATGCTGGCATTTATGCAGCAAAGGCATTTTGCTGGCAAGGGTTCAGATCCACTTGTCCACTTTAAAGAGAAGGGTCATTGAACTTTAGGGATGTAACAGTGAGGACATTTCCCATTTGCCAGTTAATAAAGAAATGGCAACAGTGGTGTTATTAGTGTTTAAACCAATAAAACCTGTGTTGTTCACAGTTTGCAGTTGTCTGTTGTTAAACAATAGTGTTTGCAAGACTTAATTTGTGTACTCCTTAACACTGTGAAACATATGTACCACTGACAACTGCTTCAGGCAAATACAAATCAATACAAACCAATACAAGGTTGTTCTAACTTTGACATTAAAATCTTACGGATCTAGACAAACCCGGGTTCAAAGAGCTCTTCAGTCAAACACTTTGGATAACTTTGGAATGTGATGTCAGACAACATTCTCCAAAATCACCATCAAAACTGAAAACGAGGGAATAGCGAGCCAGTGCCAGAATACATTGAAGCTATTCTGACAGCAAGTGGTGACCCAACATCTTATAAAACTTAGTCTATGGTTGATCAAAGTTACATTGACAATTTCTGTAGCAGGCAGGTGAGCATAGGTAACCATAGTCAATGTCTGTCTGTCTATCAACAATGTCCCAAACCCTTCTATGAATAGAGCTGCTGAGTATTTAACTATTTCATGCATTGACCAACAGGTTGTTGTTGAAGACAAAGACATTTTTCAAATAGACTAAACTTATTAGCACTGTTTCTGTGCATTTAAAAACATTATACTGATTAAATGAGTATGGTTGAACTGGTCAGTAACTATAAGTCTTTAAGCTCTGTATAAAAAAGAATCGTTAAAAATCATGATCCAGATTTTGCCATAAAAAAATCATGATATGTTTTTGACATATTGCCACCACTACAAAGATTCAAAAATAATGGAAGTACAAATATTTATGATCAATCTTACATTCGTGACTACTACTACAATAGTGATTTCTTCTTATTGGTGGATTAGAAATGACATGGTCCTCTATGTATTATAGATTCTTAAATATTGTTCTTCAGCACCTTTTTTAAATGACTGCATTTCGAGCTTGACACTCAGACTATTTGCAAAACACAACAGTTCTATCCTTCAGAAAGCCCATAGACTTAAACTGAGATAATGTCTTGCACATAAATCTTTTGCATTAGCAGACTAAGAAGAAAAGATTTCAGAGCTTCAGGGAATAATTTGTTGCAGTATTGAAGCTGGACAAAGGAACTAACTATTAGAATGCTGAAAAAAGTGTCTTAATCTCACTTTCTGATTTTGTTCTGACCCAGGAGGGATAAACTCACCTTGCTGGAATTCATTGAGCTTCTTGATGGCTTCGTCTCTCTCCTCCTCCAGCCTCTTGCACTTAGGTAAGAGAGAGAGAGAGAGAGAGAGAGAGAGAGAGAGAGAGAGAGAGAGAGAGAGAGAGCAGCTTTAACACAGGGTCGTTGCAATTTCATTCAACCTTTCTGCCTGTTTGCTTCTGCAACTGAAAAACACAGACTGGAAAAGCATTTCATTCACAGTAATGAAATTTGGTTAAAAGGTATTGATAGAAAAATTGCATGTAGCTCAGAACCGCAGAGGGGAAAAATATTTTTTGTTTCCAATGTGTCACGAGTGTTTTCATGTATTAGAAACACTAAGTAAGTAGAAAACTACAAAAAGCCAATTGAAGAATATCACTGACTGTTGTCAGTTTGAATAAAATCAAAGATGTTTCTCGCTATTATCACTTACTTATCTTGCAGACAACCACCAAACAGGAACTGTCAAACCAGATGGTTAAAGAGTTGGGGACTCAAAGTACACAAGCCACAACAAACAAGGGAGCAGGTCATCATTTTTCTATTTTTCTTTATTTTTTCTTTTGAAATACATTATTAATCCCTGAGAGAAAGTCTGGTTTACACTCTCTTATTAAGAAACATGCGTCTCTCACACACATAGGCCCAAATCCCACAAATGCACAAACAGGATCTGTGGACATGCATTAGTGGAGAGATGTCAGAGTGGGGCTGCGCACCAGAGCTGTTGGGAATTTGTTGCCTTGCTCAAGGGTACCTCTGTACTACTCGGGACTTGCCATAGCACCGCTCCAGCTACCAGAACAACTTTCGTACTTTGGTCTGCACCGGTTCCCAACCCAAGTCCTTACAGACTGAGCTGCTGCTGCCCCCATCATGTCCTCACTGCTGTTATTTGTCTCGTATAGTGGATACTTTTTCCAAAACAGGATCTACAAACAATTTAATGGATTGTGATACAATTCAAGTGTATATTTATGTCTCCTTTTGTTTCCCCATCTTCCTTAAATTGCTGCTTTATGTGTAGCAACTACAAAAGAAGAACAGAACCAGTTATCAACTCTGCTGGATGTGAACCTTATGAAAATGGACCTCTACCAAGGTGCTGCATCCGATCATTTTTTTCATCATCCTGCTAAGATTAATTAAAACCCCCAAAAATGTTGCTAGCTCAATCTTTCTTAGCAGAAACCTGATTCTTCTGTCATTTAAACCACCAGGTTATACATTTGTCCATGACCACTTTATTATGGGTGAAACCTGGTGACAACACATGGGCAGCATGATGCTTATTTAAATTAATTTAACCTACACACTACTTTAACTTAGGTCCTACAATTTTTAGGCATATAAAGCATTTGATAAAATATCAACAAATAATGAGAAATACAGATGTAGGCACTGTGTGATCATTTCAACTGCAGAATTGAATGGGTTAAACAGACTTACCTCCATGGTTGCGGTCTCATGCTTCCTCTGCAGGCCTTCATACTCCTCTATGGCTGTAGGAAGCAAAGGATGCCAGTAAGCCATTTCATCAATAAGGCGCAATAAAAGACACGTAAGTGAGGAACATAGAAGGCATCATTTAAAAAAATATGGGAACTTCTCCATCATGTGAGTACTTCTCATTTAGTGACTAGTGTAGCTTGTGTTTAGTGTCACCTGACTATCATATCAGAGGATGTTGCTGAATAAGGAAACACTCTGGTTGTCTGAAGCAACTCGGGTTGCTTTTTGATATGAACAAGTGTGTAGGCTTATTCTGGAGGGATTTTATCAGTGAAAACTAAAAAAATGTGTTCCCATTTTTGAAAGCACTGTATTACTTTTTTTGTGTGGGTGGGGCTCAGCTTTTCTCAGATACAATTGGGGGGGGCGGCTACATTTTTCAAGACCTACATTTTTTTTTTTTTTTAAGATTTATTTTTGGGCTTTTTATGCCTTTAATGGAGAGATAGGACAGTGGATAGTCAGAAATCAGGGAGAGAGAGAGTGGAATGACATGCGGGAAAGAGGCCACAGGTGGGATGTGAACCCAGGCTGCCCGCTTGAGGCTACGATATACATGGGGCGCACGCACTAACCACCGTGCCACCAGCGCCCCAAGACCTACATTTTACAATATCAAACACTAAGATGACAAAAACAACCAATACATGAAAACCTTTAAAATGTTTATATTAAGAAATAAACACACAGGAATGGTACTTCAAATTGAAATTCAGACTGAAAGATAGTTCTTGAATTTTCATTAGCTTGTCACTCTTACAGAGGCAGTGAGAATCATAGTTGATTTGCAATGATGTTAAAATGGAAATTAAAATGTATAAGAAATTTAGGTCAGAATCAAATATCCCTCATAAGTTTGTGATGTATTCTTATGGATTAGCATAACAATGGGCCTTACCCTCTGAAACAAACACACATTTCTAAGAGAAGACAAATTCAACAGATGGGAGATGCTAAATGGTCACATTGAATTGAATGATGTATTATACATTTAGAAAAGAGCTTTGTATAATACATTTAGAAAAAAAACACATTTTGTTCCTGTATGTGCTCCTCGTGTAGGAAACAGGAAAGTGACTAAGAATGCCATTTTTAGCAGTGACGTAAGAATCTATAAACCTTTACCTTATAGGAACGGGAGACATCATCGCACCTTATGCTTTGTTTTGAAGCCAAAGACACATTTCCACTTCAATCAATATGAAATGTCTATTCAATCCAAATAATTTCAGCATGTTAAATAATTACATTTTAATGGGATACATAAAGAAGACACAAAACATTTAACCAATATATTTTAAACAGCTAATTTACGACTTCTTGTATTTTTAAATTAATCTTTGCCATAGCTGTATTATTGTCAAAACTTATTTAGAAGGGGAAATGTCTGTAGCTCTCACTCGTGTTTTTTGTGTCACTTTGGAGCAGCAGCTTTGCACGGATAGATATTACACTGACATTATTATTATTTGACACTTTGGTGGTCCAGAATATAGCTTTAAATTTAGATTTCAACTTAGTCTACCTATTCACTTAAATGCATACTCCAAAGGAAACTAGTAGGCCTATATGCTGCAAACAACAAAAATGGCATCCAAAAATGTATTGCGGTAGTTACATAAAGATACATTTTACAGAGTTTTAGTTGACTAGATGTTCAAAAGTGTTTTCAAAAAAATCTCTTCAAGGCTTGCTTATATCTTAATGGCCAAACAGCGGCCTGATACTGTCTGTAGTACAGAGGGGGGGGGGGGGGGGGGAATAGCTCACTTCTGCACTATGGACATTAGGCCCTGGGTATGAGATGAAGTAAAAGCCAAGACCTTCAATGGACTTTGACCAAGAAACACAGCTCTTAAAGTTGGGAAACAATGGCTCTCTGTAAAACTGAATAGCAACCAGAAGTTAAAGAAATAATAGGAGCAGGTGTCTCATCAAAACGAAGTGAATATTCTCCCTATAGCATACAGGAAAGTGGCATAATTTAACAGAATTGGCCTAAAGCTACTAACGTTTTACATTATCCTCCACTACAGCAAAATACCACCTGAACCAATGGACATGTTACTAGACCTATACAAACTGCTTCGTTTGTATTAAAATACCTTTAAACTTTGTTTTTTAGGGACCACCCAGCAACCATCGTTAAACGACCCTGTATTTTTCAACACCGCGAATTTCTTGATAAAGGTAAAGCGAGGAGATACAGGTGAGGAAGAGGAGCTAACACATTATTAAAACACACACATGCCGATACGCACAGTAGGCTATGTCACATAAGACTTACCCTTGTTTGACAAGTCTGTAATAACATTCATTTTATCCAGCTCTTCTGTAGCCATAGCGAGACACTCTTACAACGAAGTTCAACAGGAAGTGCTTCCACGCGACACACCTGTTGGGTACAGTAAATTACCTCGCAGTAAAATGTACAGAAGAAGACGCCAGTCGTTGATATGAACAGTATTTAGCATGGTAAACTCAAAAAGTCAATATATTTAATTGTTTAGAAAAATAAACAGCCTAAATATAGGCTACGTAATATTTCTAAAAGTTAATCACAGCATAAAAACGCTGTAGTCCAAAAACTTCTTTGGTGAATAATTATGGAAGCCCATGAGGATAATTTTTGCATACGTTTTTAAAGCACTGTATGAAGTGTTTGTATGCTACTACCTTCAGTAGGCCTTTATTTATAAAGCACTGATGCCATACTGTACCTGTTTTGACAACAAACTAAAAAAAACGCATGCTTACATATGTTTCAAAACTTTACAAAAAATACTCAAATAGACGAAAGAAACATAAAACCAAATGTTTACATGATCAATTCAAATCTTTAAATCACAAAAATGTATTTTAGTGATATATCCTTTAAGGAACTACTTGTTAGAATGATCCTGCTATCAACTTAATATGCTCACAGCTTTCTGGAGATTGTACTAAAGTTACTTTTATTCTCTTGGGTTGTGTTTTTTTTTCTTAGGTAAGGTTGGTTTATGTTCCTGACAGGAGAAAATAAAAAGAAGAAAAATAATTAAATTAAATAAAACTTTACATTGGGAAGAGTATTTATTTGCAGTCTGAGCTCAGTGGTCTGCTTTTTAGTTTTCAGTTAGCTGTGACTGTTTGATACACTGAAAAAAGGCCAGGAGATATGATTGAACATTGTACATAACTTAAAACAAGACATTTTAGATTTCATGTTTGATAGTAATTAACGGTTATGTTTCTGTGGAGCGGCAGTCAATTCTTCTGCCATCGTGATCCTCTTTTTCGATCAACAATGATTAAAATGATATGTTCTCCCTTGTCTGTAACTCTGACATACATCACCTAATAATGTGGAAAAGCAGGAGAGAAAATACAGAAATGAAATCACAAAATAACGTTGTCTTATGAGGCTGACAACCTCAAGAACTTAATCTGTGTAGCTGATGTGTATATGTTAAGTTATGTTTATGAATCAGACGACAGCATATCATTTTTAGCATATAATTTAATTTATTCAAGGACACATACTCACAAAACCATTATTGTTGCACAACTTTTTTTTCTGCAGACAGACGGGAATGTTTTAAAATATTCATATTTGCCTTTGCAACACAAATCCAACAGCAAAACACAAATCATGTAAACATCAACTGTAGAGAGGAAGCAAGAGGGGCCAAAAAAGGGATGGAAAAAAAAAATGCTTTTTCCCCAAATTGAGTTTGTTTGAGACAGATGCTTTCCTCAGCATTTTGTTAACGAAAACATGAGAAGAATCGGAGCAGGAAAATTATACAGCAGTTTCCTATTATTAAACTCTTCGTAGGGAGAGGGCCACATTATATAAAGAGTTGACCATCAAATCAACCTCGGGTATATAACGATGTTAATGTTTAAGATGTTTATTCTGTGAAGCTGCAAGTTTCTGTTGTTCGGTAAATATTCGTTCAACGTTTCAGCTTAAAAAATGACAATCAGGTTGAATTAATATTTCTGACAAACCCAACTTGGGAAACACCACCAATTGATATTTTACCACTCCCCTACACGTACGATCATTCATCAGCTGGTAACCTTTTGTTTTCAGAGAGATATGGATATCATAAAGCATTTATTTAAAAGAAGAAAAAAAGTTAAAAAAAAAAAAAAAAAAAGGAGAGGGGGATCCAGCAGAAATACTCCCCAATAAATAAGGACTCATCTATAAATTTAAGGATATGTCAACATTTTTGCAATCAAGGGTAGACAATACAACCACAAACACTTTCCGTACACAACTTCTGGACACAGATACGCTACAGTACATCTACAGAGGGGGGAGATCATTGCCCTGTTCTCATTAAGGGAGGGGTGGGGGGGGTTGGGTTGTTTCATGAGAAGAAGATGACCTAGAGGTAAAAAAGTGGAGAGAAGAGGTGAAGCAGGGATTGGTGAAGACTCAAACATTGGCCTTCGAGCCGTCAGAGGTGCAGGGCTGTTGGGTGAGATGAGAGAAAGGAATCGAAGGTAAAGGAGGATGAAAGGTAGAGAGGTGTGTGGGGTCGGAACAAGAGCATCCCTCAGTGTGCCTCAGTGACGAGCACCAGACTCCCTGGGGTAAAACTCGGCCAGGGTGCTCTGAGGAATCCTCTTGAGCATCTCCTTGGGGAAGATTCGCAGCAGCTGCCAGCCGATGTCCAGAGTTTCGTACACTGTCCTGTTGTCATACGGGCCTGAGGACACAGAGGGTTGACAGGTTGGCATCCAAATAATATATCGAGTGGGCTGTGTGTCATGATCACACATTCTAAACCGTCCATCTCATCAAGCAATAAAAACTTTGACCAAAATGCACTGAAAGGAAAGAGATAGCAAGCAATGTCGTGTAAAAGAAATCGTAATTCATTTTCTAATTGTTTGCAATGCGAAGACATTAAAACTAAATGATCATAACAGATGAATATTTTGTGCTAATTTGCACAAGCAGCAGACACTGAACAACACTTTTCTCACATTGTCAAAAAACTGCATTTAATTTAGGTTATGGATTTTTTTTCAACTCCAACTCCTGAGAAAAAAAACCATGTGGCTCTTTTGCTGCTACTCTCGACAACTTCTTTACTAGCTAGTGGCTAATCCTAAGGTTTTGTGAGGAGCAGGTTTATTTAAGCCTGGTGCTGCTGGATACGATGGTAGTTGTACATTTTTACAGGCCCTATGGCCACCAACAATGAGCTCCTAAAAGCTGAGATGATAACAGTTCTCTTTGTTATCTTTGAGGCAGAACAGAAAGTCAAGTACTTAATAGCAAAAATCAAGTATAATGGCCTGTCTACTAAATACAAGCCTTTCAAAGTCGACTTGCCAACTTGATCATTTTCAGTTTTGGTGCTATGCTGCTATTTCTTTCCATAGTGACATTATTCCTAGTCTTGGTTTTTAAATGTAAACAATCATTTAGATGATGACAAACATAGAAGTGTTTAGTCTGGTCCACATGCCCTGATAAAAACTGATGGGGACAGAGCATTCACAGTCAGGGTAGAAGGGGTGTCGCCCTGAGGAGCCTGAGGAAGTCCGGTTGGCTGAAAAAGTGGAATCTTTTCCATCCATTCCTAAAATGTACTTATATCAGGGAGATTAAATTGATTGTACTTAAGTTTTCATTTTCATCTTATTTAAAATATCCTTATTAGCTGATATTTCTGACACTTGATTCATTAAACACATGATTCTTTTATGACTTGTCTGTTCCATGTTACTTTTGGGTTTTTGTTCATTTATCATACATCATTGTATCACCACAGACACCCAGACTGGTTTCAGTTGGAGCAAAGATTGTCTAAAGAATTCCTCAAAGAGAAAAGGAAACAAAAATCTTCCACATTGACTTTTTTCTTAAGGAGGCCTTTTTGATAGGGATGACCCGATACCGATACCAGTATTCGGTCTGATGCCTCCTTTAAGTACTCGTACTGGTAAAACTACGCGGATACAACGGCACCGATACCACTTTACGGCGGGTGTGAGCCTCTTCAGTTAAGCGGGTAGGCGGAGAGAAGCGAGATGTCAGTGGTGTGGAGATATTTCAGCGTAAACGAACACAATCAAGGGTATGAGTGATGCTGGACTCCCCAGCCTTCCGTGCGTGGCTCTCACGCTACAGCGAACTGTTAACGAAGGACTTTTGGCTCAGAGGAGTGTAGCTGACGCGGTGTCAGTCGGATGTAAAATTGTTGGACATTTTAAGCATTCGGCATTAGCCTACTCCCGCCTGGAAGAGCTGGTTGAGCTGCAGCTCAACCAGCCTGTAAGAAGACTCCAGCAAGACGTGCAGACGTGCTGGAATAGCACGTACTACATGTTACAGTCTCTCACTGAGCAGAAGCGGGCTCTGGGAATATTTGGCTACGAATATGAACTCCCCAACAATCTTACAGTGCACACTTCTGGAAAAACTTTATCTGTATTGACTCCGCGTTTGAGGAGTTAACCCGAAAAGTGAGCTCGTCCGATGCTTTAGCATCAGATGCATTTCCAAGAATGTTTTTCAGTTGTAAAGTCAAAAAGTAAGGAATCATATCTGATTTAAATAAAACTTACTTTCAAAGTGATTAAGAGAAATTCAGTGGCATTATTAAGTACTCGTAATATGTAAGTACTTGTACTTGGTTTGCAAAAAAGTGGTATCGGTGCATCTCTACTTTCTCATTAAGCCACTTTTTATTGAGCTGAAATTCTGCAAATCAACTCATTTAACCTCCCAAATGTTCTTCAAGATTGAAGGTGGAGTGTGTCATTAGAGTTTCAGACATTTTCTTTGAAATATTTCTAAAGTTACTAGAAGAGTGTTTTAAAACATGTCCTTGATGTTGGAAGTTTTTTCACTGAAAAAAAGCACAGAAATATTTCTTTTTATGTAGGTGTTGTATTAAAAAAACAGATTCTCCCTAGTTTCTCATCTTGTCTTACTATGACGACTATTCTCTTCTGGAATCCATCAGTGTTGAAAAGAGGAATTTCAGCTGTGTAAATACAGTTTTCTTTCACCAAGAAGATTAAACAATCTCAACACTGAGCTTTGTTTAGTTTACTCTCTATTCCACAAAGACTAGAGAGAGAGGGAAAATAAGGGCAGATACACATATGCAACAAAGAACCTAAACAGATCAATACTTTCCATGGACAAGGGTAAAATCAAATTGAAAGAATGCCATTCTAAAAACATGTTCAGAGTAATGTACTGTATGAGATGTGAAAAAACAACTCAATAACCTAAAGGACTGTTCTTACAGTTAGCTCTTTTCAAGGACATTACATGTGTTCAGATCTTATTTCTATAAGATAATAAAACATGGAATCTGTGGTTTCACTTTAAAACGGTAACAACGACAGCACAATAAGATGCATCTGCATTCAATGCAAATTAAGCTGCACCTTAATGGTGAACATTTGAGAGAATGGCAACAGATATGTACACTAGCGACTGACTACAAATACATGTTGAGCTAAGTAAAAGTCATCCTAACAATGCAGGGAAACTGAATCGTACACAGGGCAAAGATTATCTTCCTGAGAACATGAATCAAGATTCTGCAAGTTTCACTAATTCATTTCACCTCATACTGTGATGTTTTCCCCTCTGAATTTAAATGGAGGTTTAACTGCCAACTTTGTAACAGTGGTGATGGTGAACAATCTGTTCTCGAGGTCTATATGTGGCACAGTGACTAACTACTAGATGTGCTTCAGATCAGAGGTCTCCTGCTCCCACACTGCTGAAATTTTCAAATCACGGTTCTGCACGAGGTTTTCAATGTAGGACTCACAGCTTGGAGTACATGTGCTTGAAAGCCAGTGGCGTGCATGCATGTATTAAAAATACAACATCATAGTCTGCAATGCGCCCGTCTGTCACCTCTCACTGTATCTAGCAAGTCACACATGGGCTTTAAAACTTTTATTATAGGATGTTGGAACCTAACGTAAAAAGGATTAGCTGTGATATAATAACAAGATGTGTGCTGCGTCAGGTCTGCAGGCAAGGAAAACAAGCAAACAAGTTGTAAAATGCTTCTTCATTTTTGCATGAAATATGAAATATGGATCAGTTGAGAGGACATCAGGATCTTTTTAGATGGTGGTCTTACAAAGTCTTACAAAGGCTCTGAAAATGATGAATTGGCCATCATCACTTTTTGAAGCTCACTGTGATAACAGCTGTGCATATGCACAAAAGCATTAAGAGAGAAGCAGCAACATCCTGAAAAACCTGAAAAGATCAGATTTTATTTCTGATCACTTTCTTAATTCAATATTCTATTACTTTATTGTCACTTAATTGACAGAATAGCTACACAAACCAGCCATTCCTCAGTTCTATAGCCAACAGTGAAAAATAAAAATCCCCTATGAGCCAAAGCTTGCACCCTGGATAATGAGTAAAGTGGACATATTACCTCTTTTCCCAATTAGAATACATCTCAAATATAGAAAATACTGGATTTTCTTACCCTGAGCAATAAAATTCTTCTCAAACTTCTGAAGGAACTCAAGGTAGAGCAGATCATCAGAGGTGAGCGCCTCCTCCCCCACGACAGCCTTCATAGCCTGGACGTCTTTACCAATGGCATAGCAGGCATACTGGGGACAAGGAGAAGCTTTATTATTTATAATGATAAAGGTTTAAAAAAAGAAAATCATCTTCATCAGACTGCGGGGCAAAGAGAATAATTCCAAATTCATGAGGTGATTTTTTTTTTTAGAGAGAATAAGTAAGATTTGTTACCAGCTGGTTAGATACATCAGCATGGTCCTTCCTGGTCATTCCCTCCCCGATGGCTGATTTCATTAGACGGGACAGTGAAGGCAACACATTGATGGGTGGATAGATCTGAAAGATGATGATGAGATAAAAGATATACCAGACATGCATCCAGTTAATCCAAAATGCTTCATCACAAAACAAACACTTCAAGAAGCAATGACACTGTTTGATTACTCTATATCCTTGATCGGAAAAATTGTAATTGGGATTATCATTTCGCACCAAATGACACAAATAAGCAGCCATAACAAAGCAATAAAGCCAAGAACCAATGGCCCTCCATTAGCACACCATTAGTGCATGCTCTGGATGGAGCACTAAAGGAATAAGGGAGTTAACTTTGACCAGTAAATGCATCACCATCTCCCAACAGTAGAGCTGTAAGGTAAGGTCTGTCAGTGGTTGCACAGTTCTGTGAATAACTGATCTACACATATGTAAGGATTTATCTGTGAACAACAAAATATCTCACTTTGTTGAATGTCCTATATTGTCTCATGTGTTGGCCTGTTTTCAGGGTTTTTCTAGCCTTGGTCAGTGCTGCTCAAATCCCAGAATAAGCACCAAGAAATGTAAGAGGAGTGGCTAAACGAAGAGCTCATGGGCATGGCGTTTGACAGGATTTTATTGAATGTGCAAAAAATTGTTGCTCCATTCAATAAATATGCTGTAAATTGTGTCTTCTTGAATCGAAGAAGAGAGAGAACATTCAAAACAATAATGAGCATTAGCTATGGTCCCAAGCTGGAGGACCTTTGTTTAAATGAAAAGCAGATGAATACCTGTCTGTTGTGAAGCTGTCTGTCCACATAGACCTGGCCCTCTGTGATGTATCCAGTCAGATCAGGAATTGGATGGGTGATGTCTGTAAGAGGCACAAAAGTGTGTAAAAATCACCACATATCCAACAAAGAAAACCTTGTATGTGTGACACATTACAGTAAAATTAACACACACAAATGATGCCTCAGTGAATTGACATTCAGAATTAGGGGGTATGAAGATCTGAGTCACTTTTCAATCCCAGTCCTGATTTGATGGCCTTAATAAATTATGTCAGACGAAAAAAGACAGATTTTCTGTTAGCTTCCCATATTAAAGACCTTTACTCTAAATCAAGAGCCCTTGGAATCACCGGCAGTGTTTAGTAAAAGCCGACACAATCACCTCCCTGCGATGCTGTAATGGGGGAGTCCTGTGCGACTACACACGAGTAGGCTCTTCAGATGTGTTTCTATGGTAACTGCAGGCATCAAAAATGTCTCCTTGATACATTTGCGATACCTACTACAGTGATTCAATAATGGTTTTCAGAGAGATTTCAGGATTTTACCACAGAAGATAGAAAAGTGTAATCTGCATGACCACGTAGACATCCAGCAGATACACAAATAGTGAACGCCTAAAATACATATTCTTAATGGGCCTGGATGTGGCAGTTGTGAAGAAGATGTCCTTTTTTTTCAGCTTCAAGCAAAGGGAGGGTCTGTTTGCTGCTCTCACCATCATTGGGCATGGTGAGGATGGGGATCTGGGTGATGGAGCCGTTTCTGCCCTCCACTCGGCCAGCACGTTCATAGATGGTGGCCAGATCAGTGTACATGTAACCAGGGAAGCCTCGACGTCCGGGCACCTCCTCTCGGGCAGCAGACACCTACAGGTGAGTGGGAGGACAACATGAGAGCAGGAAGAAGAAGAGAAGGCTGGCGGACTAAAAGTTTTAACATTACATCTCGTTTTCATCAAATTTAGGAACATTTTACAGCTGGGGGTGGGGGGTGGGGGGGTGGGGGGGGGGGTGTTTACTACGTCAAACATGTAAGAAAAAGTAATCCAGCAGACATTGAGCTACATCAGGACTCTTTAGGAATCCTTAAATCAGATAATAAGCCTATAAATGCCCCAACTTTGTCACTAGGCAGTTGCTATCTTTCTCTGTTAGCTGTTTGCTGCTGGACAGTAGTGTACAGTGAGATCATCAGAGCTTTTAACAGAAAGCAGCTGCTTGATCCCACAGGTGGAAAAGACAAAATAAATAAATAAACATAAGATTTGCTAAAAACACAACAAGATGCCCTGAAGAGCTTAGGAGGACTGCTGTTAGTCACCGACAACGGTTTGTAAAAACCCATAGAAAACATATGAATACATCTTCTCAGCATTAGCCATGCCACCAAGTGAAGGAAGAGAGATGACCCCGCCCACTCAGCAACACAGATAGTAGATCCAGTACAAATCAAGGAAAACCAACAGAATTTCCAAATCGAAGAAGAAGAAAAAAAAAAAAATACTACAAAGGTAGAAACCAAATCAATGTTGGCCTCCATATCTGAATTTATATCAGTCGTAGAGATGGCTACAATTGGTCGTAATACTATGGGAGGGGTGGGGGTGGAGGAGGGAGGAGGGAAGCAGTGCTCTGAAGGTCACATACTTTAAATGTACCACTGCCATCATTAATAACATATGTGCTAGACTTAATTTGTTCATAAAGATTAAAACAAACACAACTATTACGTCACAAAGGTTAATGGTCTCAGATCCATCTTTTGGGTTAAGATGTTGCTGCAGATAACTTTTCTCCATCACAACTAAGACTAAATCTTAAGGTACAGTAATCTTTCTTGAAAACAAGAAAAAGTGTTGGAAGGTCATGTATCTGCAGTATCTTTTAATAGAGGCAGTAGCTGGTTGGAAATGTGTTTTTTTTTCCTTTTCTGGCACTAAAAAAAATGACCAAAAGCAATTCTTTGTTCCTGAAGTCAAGTGACTTCTGAACAAGAGAGGGAAAGAATGCATCCCATTCATCTTAAGGTGCAAAGGTTGATGGGCAAGTTAAGCACTTATCAACTGTGGATTCAAGTCAAACTCAACCTCCGCACACATGAATAGGCGCAGAAGTTAAATGACGACTTCCTCCTGACTCTGTGTGTTCTGAAACACCCATCAAGCTGTCTGAGTCTCTGCTGACTATTGTTGCAGAGTGTATGGGCCAAGGTTGGGCACAGCACATACAAGAAAGGTAATCTCATATGCACATGCGCCATTAAAACCCTGCATTGTGCTGCTGGCGAAGTGAGACAGCAAACTGTACAACATTAAAGGATTATTATAGACACACAACAGAGAGAGTCAAGAGAGCCCGACTCCTCAGCACAAGAAGAAAAGAGGGCAGGGAGAAGGGGGGGCATGAATAGGACCATTTCCTACAAGAGTGAAGGACATATCTTCTCTTTCAGCAAAGAAAACGTGAAATTACTGAAGCTATCACCTTTGTGCTAATACTGCACACAATTAACATCGGTTTGTTATGTTGACAATGCCTTGCAGGTGCTTCAACTGATGTGAGCGGGGGTTATATTATGGCATAAGCATGAAGTAACCCTCTAAATCTCTTTAAGGTTCAGATGACCATAAAAAGATAATAAAAATAACAAATATACGTACACTGACTGTCCTGCTGAGTGTGGATACATCAATGGTTTCTGGGCTTAGGGCCACAGCTGAGAGACGAGCCTGATCCATATTAGAATTTTGATACAGATGAATAATGCCGATTTTAGAGGCCTACTAGGGGTGTGGGGTAAACCGGTATCATTACCGGCACTGGTATAACGATCTGCTATGACATGGACTTTTTGCAATACCAACACCAGCAGTTTAAATACACACATTTGGTTGTAGTGCAAGAGGCAACACTGATTGCTCAACCTATCAGCTACAGTGGTGGGTAAATAAATGTTTGTTATATTTATGTTTGGGACAGACAACAGCTCAGACTGAGTCTCCCGGTCTTTGTTTTTTCCTAGGTGCGCAGCATTATTACCATGGCGATATACCCCAGTTGACAAGTGATCGACCTTTGTGGGACTGAAAACTCAGGGTTAACCCTGAAGTTACCTCGCTAACCCCAAATCCTCCTTCGTAGTACAGGCTCCAGGTGTCACAATGAAAGTGAATTGTGGCACAGCCATCAGGTAAACAAGCATTATCTCCTCTCCATTGCGTGGGAGTGCTCGCTCGCAGCACCTCTCTTTCGGTCTGTCTTGGGCTTTGATTTTGGCTATGTGCTGTAATGGCTTAACTCTGTGTTTCCTGAGCCCAGTGCAGCATGGATTTTTATCTCCATTACAATGACACTACCTGCTGAATGTGTGTATAAGCTGATGACTCGCTTGTCCTTAGTTCAAGATGATGAAAAGACGTGGTCTGTGGCTATGATGAAATCATCGGAGCGGCTTTAATTGCTGTAACTCTCGACAGTGTCAGCTTAAATCTGGGTTCACTGAAGCTTTGTCAATGCTCACTTAATTTAATGATAAACTATTTTTTTTTCTGACGAATCCTTTACAGTAAAAGTCCCCTCCTATTATGTTGCTGGAACGCTTTTATTATGAAAGGAGATTTGGTGTCTTCAGCAACAGTTTAACGCAACTCTGCATGAGAGAAACGAAGCTTAAAGCCACACAGATCACACAAAACTTCCATCATACCACTGAAAACACTGACACTGGTCTAATGAACAGAGTACTGTGTGTGGCATCTCAGGCTTGTTAGAGGGGGAGAAAGGGGGTCGTATTGTCTGAATATATATGCAAGATCCCTTTAAATAATGTAATGCTGTGCTATGATATTGTTACCACAAAAAGGAACAAAAATACAGTGATATGAATCTCAGGTCATATCGCCCTCCATTACGGTCTTTTTTTTTTCAATAACTTGTGTATCATTTATGTTGAGAATACATAACACACATATTACTTGCTTTAAATGAAGCAATTCAACTAATATGTCCAAGACCGGACATCTGCAGTCGTACCTCTCGCAGAGCCTCAGCGTAGGAGCTCATGTCAGTCAGGATGACCAGGACGTGCTTCTCACACTGGTAGGCCAGATACTCTGCTGAGGTCAGCGCCAGGCGGGGGGTGATGATACGCTCGATGCTGATTGGTCACAGAGAGAAACAGTACTGTAAGTGTTCACAAAACTTGAGGTCAGAATTTTACTCTAAAGGTTGAGGTTGAGGTGGAGGCTTGAAGGTTGTAAAAAAGAACACTGTGTGTACAGTACATCACTTTCATTAATGACTAAGTAAAATACTTGAGAGACAAAATCAGGAGTGGCTACTACAGTTGCTTTCACTTCATCCTATTTCAAATATATCTTACGTGGGGTCATTGGCCAGGTTCAGGAAGAGGCAGACGTTGTCCATTGAGCCGTTCTCTTCAAAGTCAGACTTGAAGAAGCGAGCAGTTTCCATGTTGACCTTAAAACAAATAATAGAATTTATAGTTAACAACATAAATCTCTTATACAAGACATAAACCTGTAAATATGTTTCCCTGACTAGGTGCATATCTTTAAAGAAATGGAGTAAACCAATGACTGAGAGGCTGGAACCAGGGGATATCTGGCATTTTTGTTTGAAACAAAAATTAGAGAAAACTTTAAATAATGTTTTTTTTTTAATCATTCAACACTTTACTTGTGTTGTCACATGTCTCAGAATGTTTTTTTTTACATCATAGTTTGATCAAAATCATAATTCAAATTTGGTTGCTGACAAAATATCAACATGTACAGCTTGAGTATAACCCTAAAAAAAAGACAACTGGAATATCTTAATATATCATATTTAGATCAATTGAAAATTGAATCAGGAGCCACTCAGTCAGAGCTCCTATACATAGCGTAAACAACTGCTTGCCGTTTTTCTTTTTTACCATTAAACAGAAGCATTGCTTTAACGGTTTGTCCTTTTTAAAATACATGTATAGACTGGTATAAATCCCTATTCACAGCACTTTTCCACTCTCCTGCTAAAAAACTGACCACAGTCAGATGTGAATTGGAGATGTGGGAGAGGGAAGGATTAGCATATAGCAAGAGTGTGTGTGTGTGTGTGTGTGTGTGTGTGTGTGTGTGTGTGTGTGTGTGTGTGTGTGTGTGTGTGTGTGTGTGTGTGTGTGTGTGTGTGTGTGTGTGTGTGTGTGTGTGTGTGTGTGTGTGTGTATGGTAGAGGTCATCCTGTCCCAATCGGGGCATTACAGCAAACAGGAGGAGCAGCTGAGGAGGAGAGAACTTGATACTGCGTGGCTGACAGCTCTAAAGGGGCCTGTTGAATTAGTAACCTGTCTACATGGCTGGGGGATATGCTCAGAGGTGCAGAAGTAACAAGAGGGACTTAAAGGTTAAATCACCTCACACCTGGTGAATAAAAGACAGAAAGCTGTGCAGGAAAGAGGGGACAGGGTGTCAAGTCAGGGTTAAGAGGGGGGATTAGAGTCACAGATGGGGAGGAGTGGGAGGGCTGGTTGAACAAGTGTCTGCTAAATGCTGCAATTTGTCTACTTACTCCCATGGCTGCGAAGACAATGGCAAAGTTCTCAGCACTGTAGTCCATCACATCCTTGGACTTCTGCACCAGGCCAGCCTGGCGACAGATCTGGGCAGCAATCTGGGAGAAAAAACACAGTAAGAATCAGACAAGCAGGAGGACATAAAGACTAGTGTCTAACGTAAGTATAGAATACATAACCTCTACTTATATAGACGGGTAGACAGGTTTCATTTTCATTTAAATCGGATTCCATTTGTAGTCTAACTTTCCCCAAGTAAAATCAAGGGTTACACACTACAAAAGAAAACTTCTAGCTGATGTTTTCACACTCATCAAAAAAAAAACAGGAATAAGCAATCACAGTTCCTAAAGCTTATTTTTGTTTTTGCGGGACTCAACTTCTATGATTTATGTTATTTCTACTAAAAAACAACAATACCCAACTGCACCAGTGGACAGCACTGGGCTTGGGGTCAATCCACCATTTACCAGGTGTATTCTCATTATGTGCCATACATTGACCTGGTCATTTCTCAGACTTGGGAGTGATTTAAAAAAATATTTTTTATAAAGTCCAATGGAAGGTTTCTATGAAGGAGCCTCTGGATTATGATTCTCCTACATGTATGAAATGTTGTATGCATGTCATGATCTACAAAAAAGCCTGAAGGAGCCATACACAAACACCCTGATGTTACACAGCTTTGATTTCATTTGATTCGCTATTACTTCATTGTCAGCCATGGTCTGAATTCTTTCTTGCATCACCGTGGCTCCATTTGAAACATACATACAACAAACAAAGATACAAACATTTGACACAACATCCTAAAATCAAACAAATATTTAGTCTGACATTATTAAAACATAGGACCCTGTATCTCCAGTTTAATGGTAATAGTTCTGATTCTGTGTTCAGAGCGTGGTCAGGATCAGAGGCGAAGCTGTTAGCCAGCCTTAACATGTTTTTATTGTAGGCTGAAACATGAAGTCTCTGCACAATGTTTGATCAGATATTTAACTGTTGGAGCAGTAGACCGGAGCTTGTTTTTTTTCATAAAAAATGACATGCCATTTCAATGTTTCTTAAAGTATTCAGTTTAAAGGCTTCATACTGAAAATTGTACTCGCCCTGTGTTCTTTAAATAATTTGTTACACAACAAATCACAACCAATTTCTTAACTGAAACTGATTAATTGGGCAGAGTGAAGAGTCTTTGTGATAATTTGTGGAATGAAAGAGGAATTTCACGCTCATCACATTATGTCATGGCCGCTGTGTTGATCGAGCCTGACCTCTCCATGCACCCCGGGTTCAGGCACCTGGCCCATAGAGGAAACCACCCCATGAGTGACCTCTGTGACATGCGCTTAATGAAACAACAAGCAAACTTTTCACACCATCTGATGGCACGACAAGCGGCACATCATTAGGCTGACAACACAAGCCACATTTGTTTGGCCTGTTCTACGGGGGAAACCCAAATGATAAATGCTTTTTCAAAGTGCGGATGGGATTTGGAGTTGACTGCTGTATTTGTAAGAATTATGATGCTCATAGTTTATTATTCCATAATTTTTTTGATCATTCCTCAAGTTGCCCTTTGTGTGTTTGATGTTAATCAAAGCTAAAAGGCTAATAAGGGCTGCATAAAGTAATTTAAGCGGTCAATAATTTAAATCAACCCAGACAAATATGAATTACTGGCTCCTTTATTTCATCAGCACTTGTAGAATTTCAAAATCACAATATTCATAGTTAATGTTAGACTCAAAACTTGTATTCTTTACAAGTAATGAAAAATTAGCCCAATAATATACAGTATATATATTTAGTAAATAATTAGCATAGCATAAAAGTTCAATCAAAGCTACATTAGCAATGATAGTATTTTATATTATAATTATTACAGATATTAACAATGACTCAACTATTAATAATGATATTGTTTCAGTTACATAGTCACTGGGTCCACAGCCCTAGGAATGGAGTTGAATTGTATTGGTGCATCATTATTTACGAAGCATCAATACAATTCAACTCCATTACTGTTGAACTACAGGACGTGGAGGCCTGAACCGTCTGACGCATTCTTGCAGTGCTCAGAGTATAACGCAACAACAAACCCAACTCAGTGTTGCTGATAACTCAAGTTATTCACTTTAACATTTTTTTTAATTATTCCTAAATTCGCAGCGTTTGAGGCCAGATGATGCCAATGCCAGCAGAGTTTTATGTTTACTGGAACTACTTCCATAGGTTTCTATATATCCACGTGTCATATCCACGAGGCATCCTTCGACCAATCAGAATCAAGTATTCACAGAGACCATACTATAAAATGCAATAATTAATAGATTTAACAGTTCCACAATGGCATCCATGTTATTTGAACAATAATGATCATTTGATCTACTTCTGGCTCTCTGTGTTTATATTTCATATTGGGATTGTGTCCTGCTTTAGACAGTAGACATGACACCAGTTCTTAGTGTTATTGGTAGTTACTGGGCTCAGAGGAAAATGGAGTGATGGAGTGACAGCGTTCCCAACAATAATACAATTTGGAAACGAGACAGTCGAAACACTGATTTTTTCTTTCAACTCTTTAATTTGTAGTTAAACAGAAACTTTGATTTATACAAGTTTATTTTTACCTATTTGATTTTTTATTTGGATTTGAGCAACAATGTGTACAATGGTGATACGTGCAGGAATCATTGAAATTCTCCCTGAAGTTAAATCGAACAAACCTGTGTCAAGGTGCTATATTCTTTTGCTGTAATAACTTTAAATAGGGTTATCAAAACATCTTTATCAACATCATCTCAAAATACAAGGAGAAATAAACTGTTATTGATGTCTGACAATGATTCGCCATTGCCAGGCATTAATAGCATTCAATTATGTCCCTGAGCATCGGTGTGTTAAAGACTGTAGGAGTAAAGAAGAACACGGGTCAACACTGGTTTCTAAATCCTTTTATAGCTGAAGTGCAACAAGAACAGCAAATGGCTGTCACTCAAGAAACTTCAGTTGTGCTTGAGTACTTCATTAAATTGAATCAATCTATTCTATTTTTCCTAATACATTGGAGTTGTCCAAGTTGACATCATTGATTCAATCTTCCTGAATGAATTAACATTTTATTTGCCTTGGGACTTTTTCCAAAGGCCTCCCACTTAAGCTGAAGTATAATGACAAAGAGCTCCATCGGGCTTGAAATATAACATCCCTTATCTTTAAATATGATCCGATCTTTGTCAGTTTCAATTTACTCTAAGCTACACTAATCATGTGTGTACCACTCAGTTGTCTGTCACTATGATTTAAACAAACTCTTCAGCAAAAGTCAGAGTTCAGTGACTTCTAGTCAAGCACAATGAGTGTGGTTGAAGTTTTGCTTTCTTTACATACCAGGGATTTATTTTTGTGTGCTTTTAATCTTACTCTCAACACTTCATGTCATGGAGTAACAACAATTGGCCTGATGTCATACTGTAAGCTTTACTTCAACTGCTTTTCGACAATATTCATGTAGGACAATTGGGTCTCATTTTGATTGTGACACTTTATTTTTTGTTGTTCGCACATCCAACATGAAGTAGAGGTGCGTAGAACGACAAACTATCACTTGAAAAGAAAAATTCTTGCACACCACTCTTGCTTAGTATCACTAATTTATTAGAAAAAATCACAACGTTTGGGCCCCTCTGAACCTTTGTCCTACATGAATGTTGTCGACATTCATGTAGGACTACTGGGTCTCATTTCAAGTGTGCGGCATGAAAACCACAGTTAAGAAAGCAGAAGTCCAACTGCGAAGCATCCCGTGACTCTGAGGAAAACAGCTGACACATAGGAGTGAACAGACTCATTGATGTTCCACATTTCCATTGTGAGACTGTCCAGGAAATAAATACCAAATTATCCAAAAGCTTTTATATTTAGAGTGTGGCATTCTTGGTTGATTCTTTATTTTTATCTTATTTAAATAAGTCATTGTCTTCCAAACATGGAGGGTAAGTATGTCCTTTGGAAGACATTAACCGCTTAGCTTCAGAAATAAGTAGATGAGTTTAATGCTAGTTTGCTTTTTGCTTAAGAAATCATTTTAAACTGAATATGAGATAAGATTTAATTTAGATTTAAATAAGTAAATACACAAGGATGGTTGATTTACTTTGTGAATAATTCAGCAGTTTTTCACATGTTTTGTAACTGTACTGATTAGTCTCAAATACTGTTATTGGATACATGAAGGTCACTGTCTCCTGTGGCAAAGTGACATTTTGATTTGATACCAACGTATATACAAACTACAAGGTTTGTGATTAATGCAGAAGAACCAGAAATAGGCTTTGTTCCAGTAGTCATAAATCGATACCATGAAAGAATTGAATATGGCTCTGATAACATTAATTGGGTTGGTGGTCTTACCTCATTGTGGGGAAGACCAGCAGCAGAGAAAATGGGGATCTTCTGTCCTCTGGCAATGCTGTTCATGCCATCGATGGCTGAGATGCCAGTCTGGATCATCTCCTCGGGGTAGATACGGCACTGAGGATTGATGGGCTGACCTGGAAAACACAAACATGTTTAAACATCAAGACAAACATTGGCTCATCTCCATGTTCATGTCAAACAAGTGGTAGATTAAGGAAAGGAAACCTCAAGGACGATGATGCAATAGATAATAAATTATTCAATACAATAGCTATGTTTGCCACAGCGTGTCTTGTTTCATGAACAATGCCTTAGTTACTATTAGAGCTTTCACACTTGCAGAAAACTCCTGAAAAGCTTCTGATATTCTTAGGAGGAGCTGTGTGTGTGAACGCAGCAGCTCAGCTCCAACTCAGCTCAAGCCAGTGGGAGGGGGATATGACGTTTACATCCTGTGAGCGGTGCATAGGCTGTATGCACGGGACCCCTACGTTCTCTGTACGTAATTAAACTGCATTTTGTTTTCTGTTCTCCTGTGTGTTCTTTTCCACTCTTGTTGATATTGTTATTCTGTCCCACTACACACAGCATTGATATAAAGGCTAATCTTTTTAGCGGTAGACCAGTTTAGCCTACCGCTGAGAGGTGACCCTGAAAGATTTTCCATTAAGAATCTGTTTTTACCTCCTCGGGAAGATTCATGGAATAACTATAACTATTCTGCATTTAAAGAAAGTGTGTAAAAGAGTACATCGTGGGCCAAAGAGGAACGTATTACATTTAAGACCAGATCAGGATCCAAACAAAACCAGAGAACATATTGTAACATCTGTCTCCACTTATTAGATTTAACTCACAGCTTTAAATTGCTTTCTTGTGAACAGTAAGTTATTCATACATTGTTGTTTTAAACAGACCGACCATACAATGTGAAATATTTTCAAATCAGAAATACAGAAACAGCGAACAGCCAAAAGGATTATGTTACAGCTATGAACAACCATATTTTGACATATCTCTAGCAGTGTTAAAAATATAGCAGACAAGGATGTGCATCCAGCAGATATCAGTATCATAGAAGGCTGGTCAAGTGGGAGGACAACATTATTGTTTTGGTTTTTATTTTCATTTTGTTTAAAAACCAGCTAAGGTTAATGTAAATGAGTAAAACTGCACATCTTTAACCGACAGGTTGTGTTTGATCTCTATTGACGTGCTCTTCTGAAGTAGCATTCTTGTGAAGCACAGGCTTGGAAACGTTGACACCATATTGTAGAGCACAAATAAGTAAGGTTGTACCCATGATGTCCAGGTAGTCCTCAGCCAGCACACTGGGTCCACGGTCGATTGGTTTGCCTGAGCCGTTGAACACACGCCCTGAAAGAGAAGGATGTTCTCTATTGAGCCAAGAAGAATTCAGGTCTGTCATCTGATAAATAACCATTTTTTTTATCTGGAAGTGGAATTCAAAAGATAATTACGAGGAAACAAGGATAGAAAAAATCCATTAGATGAGACTTCCAGCCACATCTGATCTATTCTGTTTTGAGTCAGACTCTAAACAACAAAGAGTGGCTCTAATGGCTCTTGTCGAGACTCCAAGTAACAAGTAGAAGTAATTATAAATTCATGGACATGATTAATGATACTTCAAAAACAAAAGCAGCTTTACTTTCTATTGCCGTCCAAATATATGTTACCTTATGCTGTACTGAGATAATCATACTGATTGAGACAGTCAGAGAATAAGCTTTGATTCAGTGTTGATATGCTTTTAAGAAGTGAAATAAGCAAATTGAAAGGCTGCATCCTTTCAATTTAAAAAGCACATTTTCTTGTTCTGGTTTATAAATAAAGACCAGATCTGTGCACAAATGGCAGGATTATGGCTTTATTTGGTGGAGTGTTATCACCAAGTCTGGATGAGATAGGAGTGATTTAAAGGCTGATCATACCCAGCATGTCCTCTGACACTGGGGTACGCAGGATATCACCAGTGAACTCGCAGGCTGTCTTCTTAGCGTCGATACCTGAAGTTCCCTCAAACACCTGAGCAAACACAGACATGATAACCCATTAACATATACGAGCCTCAAGACAATGTAGCCATGCCGTGGTTAGCTAAAGGGCTAGTTCACAGCTGGCACCTGGATGTCCGTACATGCATGATAACGTGCTTACTATGGTAATGCTAGCATATTCATGCATCATAATGGTATTAACCGTTAGCTCATTACCACACAGAGTACAATAGAGGATGATAGGCATGTAATCAGTTCTGCAGGTATTTGGTCATTAGTACAGAATGGACAAACTGAATATTTGACCTAATGATGCAAATAGATGAGAGGTCAGCAGAACAAAATGATTATAATCCATCCTCATGAATGCATACTTTATATTTCTGCATATAGATAAATAGAAATACTATCAGAATTATGATTGACCAAAGGGTTGGATGGTTGAAGTGGACTGACCAACAGATAATGATTAACCCCAAAAATTAAGTAGCGAACAAAGAAACAGTATCACATCGTAAAAGGTGAACTTTGACCTGCCTTTCTAAAAGTGTGTAAAGCTACATCCTGCCAAACCATACCATCAGGAAGAAAACCATTTCCAATAAGTTAAGAGGTTGTGAAAAATGTAAATAAGAAAAAGAGTGTGATGATTTTCCGACATTAAAACCGCATATTTAATTGGAAACAGTGAAAACATCTCAAATGTTGAAACTGAGAAAGTTCATTGTCTTTGGAAAAGTTACACAGAAAGCCCATTTTTCATTTGATGCCAGAAACATGTTTCAAGAAAGTTGGGACAGGGCCATGTGTATCTCTCTGTTGCATCATCTCTTCATTTCACATTTCTCAAGTTAGTGTTTGGGAACTGGGAAGAACAATTTACCTTACTTTTAAAGAGGAATGTTTAAACATTATTTCTTGATGTGGGATTTCAGTTGTTTAATGGTTCAGGGTCTCCTTTGTCCTTTTTTATCATAATGCTCCAAAGATTTTTAATGGACAACCAATGGTGACTGAAGGCAGCTGAACTAGTTTCTCACAGAGCCATGCTATATGTCCAGAGTGTTGTTAGTCTTGCTGAAATAGACATGGTGACTTTACAAATGTGCAAGGTTCTCATGCCATGTGCACTAATGCACCCCCATACTATCATAGGTGCTAAGTTTTCAACTTTGCACAAATAACGAGCTGGATGGTCCCTCTCCTCTATGCCCAGAGATGTATCATCAGGTCTTTTCTTTTGGCATTTCACATTTTTTTCTCGTCTTTTTTGCCACTGTCCCAACGTTTTTTAAACATGTTGCTGGCATCGAAATTCAAAATTGGCAAATTATTTTTCAAAGACAATCAAATTTAACAGTTTCAACTTAGTACCTGATGTCTGTGTTATTTAAAATGAAATATAATGTTGTATTCTTACAAATAATTCTTTAACGTTTAAAAGAGAAAAACATATTACATACAAATTCTTCTGAAAAAACAACACTCATGTTTATCAGCGGGACTGCAGTGGGTGCTATATGTTCAGCGTTGATTCCGTAACTCACCTGAACGACTGCCTTGCTTCCAATCACCTCCAGGACTTGCCCGCTCCTCTTGGTGCCATCTGGCAGGGTCAGGTGAACAATCTCAGCGTACCTGGGGAACTAAATATTTCACACATATTTCACTACAGCTGCCTGAAAACTACAGTCAAAGATTTACTACAAGGACACATCTGAAGATATAAGGGGTGCTTCAAATTGGAAAACATTTCATTCATAGTCTGTTGAGTGATAAATGTCGCAGCAGAGACCGCATTAATACATAATAAAATTGATTTCACAATATGTAAACATCAATAACAATGCAGTATGAAGGACTCCTATGTTGATGTAAATTAAAAATGGAACATTATGGCAGCCTCACCTTGACATTATCCAGGATCACAAGGGGTCCATTAACACCTGACACCGTAGAGTAGGCTGAAAAAGAAGACAGTGATAAGGTTTATTCTTTCTATCTTTCAGACAGGAAAATAACACAGCTGCATATGTAAATGGGAACATTTACATTTGTCCCTGAAGACAAATTCAATAGAAATGTGCTTCTTTATCTGTGCTTAAAGCTCGTTCATCTCAATCACATGAATAGGTCAGCTCTTGGCAAATGATGAATCTTCACAGCACAATATTCACAGACTGTATGACACAAATCACCAAGGATTTCAGTGTTGCCATCTTTATAGAGAGAGGGATGTTGATATGGATTATTTCTCATATCTTGTAGTAATTTAAGATGCATACTTGTCAGTGATAGAGATGTGGGTTCAATTTGTGTGAAAATGCTAGTAATAGCTCAGATCATATGGAAGAACACTAACAACAAACACAAAATGAAGGATATCTTGAACAACACAGATTTGTTCACTTGACTGTGTTAGCAGTGCAGTGTCATCTCTATGAACACACAGCGTCATGTGAATGCAGACTCTGAAGGTCAGCAACAAGTTTCATTGTGTTGAACGCGCGTTCTAGTTTCGCTTGTTGTCCAAGTCATATCAAACAACCATGTTTGAGCTGGTTTTGTTTGTACACAGAAAGTTAATACACAAGTTTACAAGAGGCCAAAGCATTATCTGGAATGAAATCCAGAAAACTCAATGGCTGTAACAGACACCAACTTGATCGTGTCATATGTCTTTAGGCATAAAATATCTGGTGTCAAAAAATATCTGATCAAAAAGGTAGGGTTAATAAATGCTTAGCTACTTTCAGATTGCCTGTAAAACAAAGACCTGCCATACTGGATTATTGGAATAATATATCTGACTCAGTGGGAGACATCTGATCCTCAGATGACCATTGGAGAAAATAGAACAAATCTAGTATGTTCCTTCCTGTCGATAATGGCGCCAATTTATGTTGAGATTGCAAGAACCCCGCCCCACACACACACACACCATCCTGCTGTACATCTTCAGAATTGAGGGGGTAAAATGCAAAGCTGGGGGACTGAAGGTGGCGGCATTGTTTCCAATGGGGTTTTCTATCCGTCTGGTGTTCCTCTTTATGAGCGAACCGTCAATCTTGTGGCTGATATCAAAGGCACAAGGAAATTAGAGCAGACTGGTAGGACTATAAAGCACTAAAGCTTAGCGGGGTGCACCCCCTATGCCACTAATTAGGCAGAGGCCAACAAAATAACCTGTCAATGCGCTGTAGTATTGCAGCCATTTCCCCCACACACACCTGCATTTCACTCTCTATTAGCCAGACAGGCCTGGTATGTGTAACTGTGGGTTTTTTGAGGGTGCAGTGGGAGATTGTGGTGGGACGGTGGGGCAGAGACTATTGAGAGAGCAAGAGAAAAGATGGCTCAAGTGTGATGATAAAAACCAAGGGCACCAAAAGATACAAAAAAAAACATTTTCCTCTCCAAAATAAAGAGTTTTACTCTAAATATCCTTTATCTCACGTCCTTCCAGAGGGCCCAGGTTCAGCTGAATGATTCAAGCTCTCACACATTTTTCTGCTTGTTCTACAAAACCTTGCACTGAGCTGGGCTGGCTGAAGGCGGGTGGGTAGGGTACTACCAAATTTAACAACCTTTGCTTCCCTCAAATAATCTGTCCAAATCTGTCCATATTCACATCCTCTTTAAACTTAAACTGACTCTCAATATACTTTGCTATTCTTATGCATGGTCTGTAAAATCACACCGTAAATACACTGGTGAGCATGATTCAATTAGAACCTCAATATTTTGATATGGCTAAGGCCCATGCAATCTCAAGAATCCGCATTTGACCACCCTTGGCTAGTTTAAAATAAAAAGTAATGAATAGTTATGCCATTGATGAACTCATCAATGACACTTGTAACATATGTTGCTAAATTAAAGAATGTCATGAGATCAATTATACATTACCACTGACCAGATTTCTGAATAAAAATGTTCAGTCGGATACAAGAACTTCAATATTATCATGAAACTTTGATACAAACAAACTACTTAAAGCGCTTTTACACTGCATGTCACACCTACCCATTCACACACTGATGGCAGTGGTGCGTAAAGTCAGAATTAACTAATTCCAGTCATACACCGCCGGTGAAGCAGCGGGAGCAATTTGGGGTTAAGAGTCTTGCCCAAGGACACATCGGACATGTTGCTCCAGGAGCTGGGGATCAAACCCTCGACCTTCCAGTTGAAAGACGATGAATCTACCAAATGAGCCACAGCCACCCCTGTGATTTTTATCAAAATATAAAATATATATTCCGTAAAAAGTACCCTGTTACAATACATATAACAAAATACACTTACCGACACAAAACACAAATCAGGCAGTTCATCTGTTTTGCTAGTGAAGATTAGAGTTTAGCCTGAAACTGCTCCAGGAATTAAGGATTACCATCATTATCAAGATTGACAAATTTATACTCAAACCTCAGACAGCTCCCCTTACCACCAAACACACCCTGTATAAAATGTATCCTTTCATAATATTCCATCAAATTTTCACAACATTATGTGTCTTAAAGCCAGCCCCCCCCCCCCCCCCTTCAAAAACGGCAGACTGTCATTGATGGCCCTGTTAATATAAAAAGGATGTAACGGCTACACTTAGCCTACAAATTGCCCACATGTCCTAAAAGAGATACATATGGCTATTAACTGAAGGGTGATGATAATAATCATAATGATGATGCCGGGTAAATTGGGCAACATAATTATACAGGAACCACTTAGAAATCTATAAGTCGTCTGCATCTTACTTGTGGATATCTGGTAGCAGTAAAAAAAAAAGAGGAGCAAAATTCAAGAAATGTAAAGTAACATTACGTCCCCTCATTAACTGTGACTGTCAAGCTATATTTGATTAACACATCATTACAGAGTCATGCAAACAGAGAATTACACAGAAATTTGAAAATGTCATTGGCAGTTTAATCTATGGCCAAAACAATGAAGCAAAACAGACCAAAATATCTAAAAGTATTGTAATGGATAAGTGGAGGCATCATCTTCATTTTCACCTCAACAATATTGAGCATTAGCGCAAAACTGTGAGACACCAATATGTCACAACTGATGAATCAGCTACCTTCTGAACATTGCACTCGTGCGTTGTTCTTGAAAATCTAATTTCAAAAGCGTTGGTACAGCTTTACAGCTTGAGAAAAACATTGTATTGCATATTTTTTAACCATTATTGACACATTATTGATAGGCTCTTTAAATAAACATTAAAAAAAGTATTGTCCAATAAATGATTATTGGACTTTTTTACATTTTTATCGGCCTTCAAATTCCTGTTATTGTCCGAATTGCCACATCCTAAAAGTCTTTTTTTAGGTTTATTCATAAAGTAAATTGATCAGCTATTTGGTGACACTGAGTTTGAAGAGTTTATATTATTTGAAAAGAGACTTCCAAAAGGATTAAAGGCCCAACCCTGGCCCCATATGGTAGCCCATCATTATGTAAAAGAAAAAGAAAACAGGACAGTTCATACTACCCTCTTATGTATAACTGGGATGATTAAAAAAAGTGGCTTGCTCTCTCATTTCACAAGATAATGATGGCTCAATGGGCTATATGTTCATGAGGTGTGAAGTAGCAACATTTCCCATTAGGTTTGGAAAACTTTCTCCACCCCTCTTTTGCTACTTCAGCTCAAGTGCAGCAATCCCCTGGCTTGGCATGCAACGGCAGTGTGGGTCACCCTGCAGCCTGTTCAGCTGCCAGAGCCCTTTGTGTACAAAGATGTTAATTGGTCCTAATCCGCCACTAGAAGCTGTTTTGGTAGCCTGACCTCGCACCCTGAAGGACACCTTGGTGTGAAATACTAAAGAGCCCATTCAAGTGCCAGAGAAAAGAGGCACAGAGCATTCCAACACAATTCAATTTCCCAGCTGAAAGAGGGAGGAACTCAAGGGGAGGAGGGGGCTCCGAGTTGGGATGGAGATTGGGGCGCATCATCGTTCTGACAATAAATGAGCGCTACAAAGCAGTCGCTGCTGTGATGTGCAGCCTCACAATCACGTCTTAGCCTCTACTTCAAGGGATTCCCACAGCCCCACTGGACATGGGAATGCTAATTGCCTCAAACCTACAACCAGCCCTCACCCACAGCACCCCCCACACAGATGCACACACACAGACACAGCCAACATAATGCAACTGCGAGTCAATAAACACACGTTGTAAAATCACTCATAATCCCCAGACACATTATACAGCCTGTGTTTCCTGTCACTCCCCTTTGACAGTTGTTGGTTGAAGGCAGCAGCACACTAGTATCCATGCCACCTTTTCAGCCGGTTAAAGCAGGGAATAGCATGCTGTACAAAACCATTCTGGAATAAAAGGTAAGGGGAGGGAGGACTGTTCCGTTGGCTAAATAGAACTAGGAACAAAGCTGAGTTAACATCTGTGTAAATGAGGAAACTGGAAATTACCTAGCCATTTTCCCTGAACTCATGCTATGGGTTAAAAAGGTCAAATCTGTTATATTGCTGCAGGCATATATAATAATAATATACCATTTGACTGATTGATGATGGATTAAAAAAAAAAAAACAGGGGGCAAGCGGACATTTTTCAAAAGGAAAAACATTTATTTTATGTAAATAGTTACCAGTTCACAACCGCTAATGTTGGATTTTCTTTACCATCTCAACAATTCTCTTTTAAATGAAACTGAGGTATCAAATGAGAATCCCACCAAGGTCAGGACAAACAAGAGAAAGAACTTATCCTTTTTCCCTACAGTGATACAGCTATACTAACTATTATTTCTTTCAAAGTTTGAGAGCGCACAATCTGTTCTATTTTCCACATCTTGTATTTTGTGCAGTGAAAAACAAATAACTACTACATTTTAGGATACCCAAAGCAAAAGCAGCAAACACACAAGGATTAAGTTTTAAACTGGCAGAGAGTGCCCTGTGCTTTTATCGTTAGAAAAAAAAGGTGT